GCCCCCCTGCCCTGCACCCCCCAAACTCAGCCAAGTGCCTCCTCCCGCCGCCCTGGCCCCTGCCGGGCCCCCCCGCAGCCAGGAGGCCCCCCAGGGGCCGCCCCTCTCCAGGAAGCACCTCGAAGGTAAGAGAGCCCCCAGAGCCCCCATGGTTGTGGGACTGGGGTGGGTACTGCCCGCGGGGGGGCCTTTGGGGGACCCCTGGGGGGTTCAGCTCAATGGGGGGGGTTTTGGGGGCACCACTAGCTCAGCACCTCTCCTTGCCATGGGGGGGGTTGCATGGGAACAGGGTGAGCACCCGGGGGTGTGGGGGTGCCTTTGGGGGGGCCCAGGGTGGGGGAAGGGTGCGAGCAGGAGGGGCTGAACCCCCAGAGGGGTTTTGGGGGCTCTCCTGCTCACCCCTCTGCCCTCACAGCCCCCCAGCCCTCCCCRCAGAAGGAGCCGGAGCCCCGGGGCCGGGCAGGGGCCCCGGGGGCTGGGGGAGGCCGGGGTCCCCCCCGGGGGTCTCTGCAGTCGGAATCGAGCTCGTCCAGCGAGGCCGAGGCCCCCCAGCCCCCCCCGGCCCCCCAGCGCTGCCAGCCCAACCACCGAGGTGAGGGGGGTCCCTGGGGTACACCCACCTTTGGGACGTCCGGGGGGCCCCTCTCACCCCCCTCCCTCTGCACAGGGTCCGGGAACGAGTCCGAGAGCAACGACGAGTCCATCCCAGAGCTGGAGGAGCCCGAGGGCTCAGAGCCGTCCCCTGCCCAGCCCCAGGTGGGGTTTTAGGGGTCGGGGGTGGTGGGGACCCCTGAGGGAGTGGGGTCCCCACTGACCCCCCACTCTCGGCAGGTGCCCCTCAGCCACGCCCTTGGCCCTGGAGAGGAACCACTCAGCAAAGCCAAGCAGAGCCGCAGCGAGAAGAAGGCCCGGAAGGTGGGGGCTCCGTGGGGAGCTGGTGGTCCCTGTGGGGCTGGGGAGCCCCCACAGGGTTGGGGTCCCTTGTCCCATCCCAGGGTTTGGGGTTCAGTYGTGGGGTGTTGAAGGGGCAGGTCCACACTTTGCAGGGTCCCYGGGTCACACTGGAGGTCCCTGTCCCACCCTGTGGTTTGGGGAGATCAGTTCCGGGGTGCTGAGGGTCAGGTCGCCACTCTAGGGCGTCTCTGGGCCACATTGTGGTGGGACTCTGGGGGGTCCCCACTGTGGGCTGGGGGGGCTGTCCTGGCCACGCTACTTTCCCTGTTACCCCGGGGATTTTGGCTGTTATGGGGGGTGCTGGATCTCCCGGATGCTGTGCCGAGGTGCAGGGGGTCACCCCATACCCCCGGCCCCTCAGGCCATGTCCAAGCTGGGGCTGCGGCAGATCCATGGTGTCACCCGCATCACCATCCGCAAATCCAAGAACATCCTGTTCGTCATCTCCAAACCCGACGTCTTCAAGAGCCCCGCGTCCGACATCTACATYGTCTTTGGGGAGGCCAAGGTGGGCTCGGGGGGYCTTGGGAGGGAGCTCCTGGCTCGGGGATGGCTGTGGTGACCCTGTGTGCCCCACAGATCGAGGACCTGTCCCAACAAGTGCACAAGGCAGCGGCTGAGAAGTTCAAGGTGCCCCTGGAGCACTCGGCACTCGTGACCGACACCGCACCTGCGCTGGCCATCAAGGAGGAGAGCGAGGAGGAGGAGGAGGTGAGTACTGGAGGGGCTCTGAGTGACCCCTGGGGGGGTGTCCCAAGGGGGTGACAGTGCTGTGACCCTCCAGGGTGGATGGGGCAGGGCTGGAGTGCACGATGTGGAGCAGGGGGTGACTCTGGTCAATGTGTTGTGTCCTGAGAGAAGGTGCTGAGGGTCCCCCGGGGGGTGTGCAGAGGGACACCCAGGGTGTCAGGGGGGTGTCACGGGATGGGTGACACTGCTGTGCCCCGTTGGGATGGGAGGTGCAGGATGCTGAGCTGGGGATGGTTCAGGTCAAGGTTTTGTGTCCCGGGAGGGGGTGCAGAGGGATGCCTGGCGTTCAGGGCTGGGTGGGTGCCACGGGGGGGTTGGCAACACTGTGTCCCCCACCCTAGGTGGATGAGACAGGGCTGGAGGTGCGGGACATCGAGCTGGTGATGGCCCAGGCCAACGTGTCACGTCCCAAGGCTGTGCGGGCACTGCGGCACAACAACAACGACATCGTCAATGCCATCATGGTGAGTGGGAGAGCTGTAACCCCCCCTCTCTTTTCCCAGCGGGAATTGGGGCTGTGACCCCCCTCTCTTTTCCCAGCGGGAATTGGGGCTGTGACCCCCCCCCCCTTTTCCCAGTGGGAATTGGGGCCGTAACCCCACAATTCCTGACTCTCCCCTCTCTCCCACAGGAACTGACCATGTAGCACTCAGGGGTGCCCCGGCCCCCTGTATAGATGCACAGAGCTCCCCAAAATCCTTCCTCCTGCCCCCTCATCCTCCTCCTGCCCCCCGGAACTGCTCAATAAAGGCCTCCTGCGCCCCTTGGATTGCACTCTGCCTCCCAGGCCTGATTTTGGGGGGTTGGGAAGCCCCTCTTCCAGCAGTGGGATGGAGGGCATTGCCTGGGGGTGTAACTGGATGGGGAAGGTGGAAGGACAGGTTTTGGGGGGTGGTGACACCCCAGGGTGCTCCCAACATCCTTGGGAATCAGAGATATCCCCCTCCCCTCCAGATCTGGAGGGCAGAGACCTGGGATGGGAACGAAGCCCTCCAGCTCCAAAGGCTGGGAAGGGAGGGAACTCTTGGGGCCCAAATCCCTGGTGTCYCAGGATCCTCCTCCTTGCCCCCACTTTCCTGCTCCCCATTTTCCTGGTGTTGGAATGGGAAGGGCTGTGGGAAGAGACGYCCCCAGGTGAGTCCCCAGGACATCTGAATTGTAGGGGGAGGAGGGGTTGGGAGACCCCTGGGAGAAGGGGGGAGGTCACCAGTATGGATTAGGGAGACACCARTAAAGCCAGTGGGAAGCAGAGCTCAGAGCGGGGTATGGCTGTGGGGAAACAGTGAAGGGGGGCACTCAGCAGTGAGGGTGGGGATGAACTGAGGGCACTCCAGTGAGGGCAGCGGTGAACTGGGCAGTGCTGGGTGCAGAGGGGTTACAGGCACTGGGAGCTCAGGGGAATTTGGGCCCAAGGTCTCTGGAATGTGCTGGAGGTGCTGGATCCCCAAACTGCTGAGTCAGCATCTGGCTCTGGAGGTGGGGAGGGGACAAAGCCCCCAGGTGTGGCTGTGGGGTAACTGGAGACACCCCGGGCCCATCTGGAGAACCTGCCCAGGGTGGGAGCCCCCCGGGAGGTGCAGATAGAGGGGGGGCCCTGGTTCAGCTCCAACAGCCCCCCTCATCTCCTGTCCCCACCAGGACCCCTGGGATGCTGGGGGAGGGGGGTGGTGACCATGAGGAATCCCCTACTGAGGGAGCTGGAACGTTCTGGAATGTTCTACCACCACAAATGAGAGGGTGAAAATATTCACATTGTGGTAGAACTTCATTGGGGGGCAGTGCTGGGGGATCCGCTGTGCAAACTGTAAACGGGGGAAGCGGATCCGGCCCCTCGGGAATAGATCCCAATGCCCGGGAGATCCCTCGAGAGCAAACATGGGTGCTCAGAAGCAGATCTGTCCCTCTGGGAGCAGACCTGTCCCCAAAATCCAAATCCAGATCTGTCCCCAATTCCAGCTGGAGCCCTGGGAACCAGAGGGAACCCCTGGAGCTGTTAACAGAGCTGGGGCAGTGAAGACATCCTGCCGGAGACCCCAAATCCGGCGGGACGGGTCCGGGATCCCTCCGAGGGCAGCCCCGCGTTCCAGGATCTCCATGAGGGCACAGATTGGTGTTCTTGGGTCTCTCCAAGSGCAGTTCCAGAGCCCTCCCGGGGCAGGTCCATGTTCCATGTCCCCTCCTAGGGAAGCTCCAGGGTCCCTCCAGGGGCAGCTCTGTGTCCTGGGATCCCCTGGAATCAGCTCCATATTCCATGTCCCCACGGGGGGCAGCCCCACGTTCCCCCTGGGGCTAACTCTGTGTCCCTCCCGAGGGCAGCCCCGCGTTCCACACGGGAGCAGCTGCGACTCTCRGGCTCCCTCAGGACGAGTCCCGGTCCAGGCTGCAGCCCAGGGCCTCGATGTCGCTGCTGATGTGGGAGATCATCCGGTCCCACTCGTCCTCCTCCGAGGGCACCGACTGCTCGTCAGAGCTGCCCGCAGCGCCGGTGCCATTGGAGGCGGAGGTGGCGCCCAGGGAGCGCCGGTAGCGCCCGAAGCTGTCGGTGATGATCCCGCGGCCGTCCTTCACCCCGATGGTCTCCAGGAAGTTCTCGAAGTGCTGACTGTCCTTCTCCGGGATGAAGGGTCGCAGGCCTGGAGCCGGGACACAGCAGGGACACGGGTTGGGGCACGGTGAGAGCCCGGGACAGGTATCTGTGGGGATTCCTCACCTGCGTGGCACTGCTGGGGACCCTGAGATTTCCAGGAGAGCCTGGCAGTTTCTCTGGGAGGGATAGGGACCTCCAGGATCCCCCATTCATTTGCACCCAAGACTTGCAGCTACTGCTCAGTTAGGGCAAAATCCAGCTCAAGTGCAATTTTCCAAGCTCCAAAGGATCAAATTCCTCACCCAGCATCTTGCTCGGCTTTGCTGAGCTTATCCCAATAATTTGTCCAATCAGGGACATCTGTCCTGTCCCTTTGAAATCCCCAAGGGCCAGCAGGCCCATGTGAGAGACACTACTCCTATCCTGTGGGGATTTTAAATTCCTGATTCCTTTTCCTTGGATATCAGAGGCCAGGTAAGAGGCCCCACGTGCAGTCAAACACTTCTCCTGTCCTGCGAGGGTTTTGTATTCCTGCCCTTTTTTTAGGACAGAGTAGGCCAGGTTGTTTAAATATCCCTGACTCTGGAGGAGGTTTCTAGGTTTGGGAGACGTTCCCAGGTCTGCATTAGGTCGCCTGGTTCCGGATGAGGTTCCCAGGTGCCTCACAGCCAGGTGGGAGCAGGGAAGAGCTCCAGGGGAAGACTGAAGCTGGGATAGATGGATCTGCTGCCCTCAGGAATGAGGAATCTTCACAGGAGAGATGGACTGGGATGTTTCTCCTCTCGTGGTGACACCCCAAGAGCTCCTTGTGCCCCCCACCCCTTGATGCCATCTCTCAGTGCCACGTTCCTGGCTCGGGAGCCATTCTCGCACTCACCCAAGAGCAGGAATTTCCTGCTGTCCCCGTAGAGCTGCTTGAGGTTGATGCAGAACTCGTGGATGGAGGCCCCGTTGCGGTACTCGTGCAGCAGCATGGCGAACTGCTGGATCTCCTGCGAGGACAGCTTCGTCCGGAGCTGCGGGGACATGGCCCTCATGGCACCACGTACTTGGGAATGGGGGATGGGAGGCTTGGGAATGGTGCTGGAATGGCCAGGAACCCGATGGGAAAGCAGGGATGAGCTGTGGGGGTCACTGGGACTGTCATGTGTGGAGTCTCCAAACATGAGGGGACTTGGACAGTGGGAAAGGGAAACGGGAGGGATGATCCTGTGGGAGAAGCAGTGAATCCAGAGAACATGGAGCTGCTCCCAGGGCTGGAGCCCCTCTGCTCTGGAGCCAGGCTGGGAGAGCTGGGGGTGTTCCCCTGGAGAAGGGAAGGATCCAGGGAGAGCTCAGAGCCGCTTGTAAGACCTAAAGGGGCTTCAGAAGATGGAAGGATGGAGGAATAGGACCTGGGCAATGGCTTCCCACTGCCAGAGGGCAGGGATGGATGGGATATTGGGAAGGAATTCCTGGCTGAGAGTATGGGGAGGGGGTGGAATGGGTCTCCCAGAGAAGCTGTGGCTGTCCCTGGATCCTTGGAAGTGMTCAAGGACAGGTTGGATGGGGCTTGGAGCAACCCYGGGATAGTGGAAGGTGCCCCTGCCCATGGTAGGGTGGCACTGGATCATCCTTACAGCCCTTCCCACACAACCCACTCCATGATTCCACGACATGAGCCCATGATCAACGCCCCCAAGCCCAGTCTGGCTGGGAAGAGCTGTTCTTCCACTCCCCACTCCTGACTGCGGGGTCTGATCCCAAATCCCACCGTCATCATGTAGTCCTGGAGCAGCTCGGTGGCCGTGGTGCTGAGCTCRCTCTCACTCGCTGTGGTCACGTGTGGGGACGGGCGCGCCGAGAAGGATGGGGAGGTGTCCCCTGCTTCCAAAGTGTCTGCAAAGGAACTGACACCCAACACRGGTGAGTTCTCTGGAGCCCCTTGGGATGGGTGGGGAGGTGGYGGTGGGATTTTTGGTGGCTTGTGCAGGGCCAGGAGTTGGACTCTGATCCTTGRGGTCCCACCCAACCCAGGATACTCCCTGATTCTGGAGCCCCCAGCTCTTGAGGGCACCCTGAGACTCCCAAGGAACCGAACATTGCTTTGGTGACAGTGACAACAGAGCCCTGTGTGGAGAATTAGGGTGCTTCCTCATTGGGAATAACACAGGGAAAAATGCCTAAAGTCTGCACTTTGGGCTTAAATGTACAATTTTCAATAATGTTCATAATTCTTCCATGCTAAACATTCCTAAAGTACCCCTCTGTATTAGCTATTCCTAAAGCATCCCTCCATGTTAACCAATGGTTTATGTGTTGGGATTTCATTCCACAAACATTGTYAATGTTTTTAGTGACCCAGAAGGCAAAAGTTTCCCAAAGAACAAGCTTTTGGGGAATACCCTTCTCCCAGGTCCAGCTGGACTCCAGCTRGTGACCCTGCACTGGGCTGACACAGGGCCTGCTTGCTGTGGATGTGACTCTCCCTGGAATGCTGAGGGCAGAACAAYCCAGGCCCGGACAGGATCTGTGCCAACCCCCCCCGAGGCCCGGCAGGGCTCAGCTGAGCCTCCCGATGCGCTGATGGCAGTGAATCCGGGTTAATCCCAGCTCCAGGGGCCATGGATCACTCACAAAGTGCTGGTGTCTGCCTCGAAGGGCTCCTTCACGTCCACTTTGGTGGAAGAGTCATCTGCAGGGGGGAAAAATTTGGGATATGGAATGTGAGATGCACAAACTCAGTGAGTTCCCGAGTCAGGAGTGACAAGAAGTGATTTCTGACTTGGCCAGAAGGGGAGATGCTGGGAATGAGTGATGTGGAACGAGAGGAAACAGCCTCAGGTTGAGCTAGGGGAGGTTTTGGTTGGGTCTTGGGAAGATTCCCTCACAGGGCATTGGAACAGGGTGCCCAGGGGCGGGGGTGGTTCCCCATCCCGGTGGATGTGGTACTTGGGGACACTCAGTGGTGGCCTTGGCAGTGCTGGGCACTGGGTGGGCTCGGGGATCTCTGAGGCTTTTCCAACCTCAACCACTCGTGTTTGCAGGTGTCTCTGGCCTTGGAGAGGTGCTGGGTATGGGGAGCAGGCCCAGGAAAGCAGCAGGAGGGACACACCGCTGTGCAGGGACAGGTGCCGCGTCGGCGTCGAGGCGCCGTCGAAAATGGCGCGGTCCAGGAAGTCAATGGTGGACTCGGTRTAAACGATCTGGAAGACTTGGCTGAGCAGGGAGCACAGCTCCTCGGCACCCACCTGGGAATGAGCAGGGAGCYGTGGCAGAACCTGTGGAGGGACATCCCCCTCCCTCTTCTGCACCACGGGATGGGTGTTGCCCCCCCACGAGGACAGGGAATGTGCAGACCCCAAATCCGTCACCCTCCCAGCATCCCAGCCCTCTTCCACCSGGCAGCGGGAGCTGGGATGCTCCAGCACCAACTCGGGAGCCCCCACATTCTGTGCTGAGGCTCTGCTGTGCATCGCCCTGGAATTTTGGCTCATCCCAGAGAGGTGCAAGTGCCCCAGGGAGTGCCAGAGCTGGGAATGAGGGGAGTGAAACTCCACCCTCAGCAGAGATCAGAGAGGATTGAGACTGGAATCCCTAGATCCAGACACTGGATGAAACAAATTCCCAGCTCAGCACAGGGAAARCACCCTGATCAGCAAAACCCCATTGTGGGATTGTCCTCCTGGATTTTGTGTTGCTGCAGAAGGCTCTGGGCAACAGGGACCAAGAGAAACTATTCTTGGAGACCCTCTTGTGTCCCAGGGYTGGGACAGAGATCAGGGCTCCCCTTTCAGGTGTTTCAGCAATRCCCAACCACACCTGGCATCCCTATCTCTGGGCATGTTTGTGTCCCATGAGGTGTGGGAGCAGGGAAGGATCTGGACACACCACAGGACTTGGCCACTGTGGAGTTTGTGGCTCCACCCAAGAGGCAGAAACCTCCCAGCAATGCCAGTGACTCTCAGACCATGCCGAGGTGTTCCCATGGTTTCCAAGCAGGAGYGGGAGCTGTACCTTGTTCTCTGTGGCCAGGATCACCAGGCAGCAGGACTCCAGGGGCCCCCCGGCGCTCTCTGACAGCGATCCTGACGTCAGCGCCTTGGAGCTCTCGGCACACAGACTCTGGCTCGGTGAGATCCCGGGATCCTGAGCTGAGGGGAGAGGAGAGGTGAGGGAAAAGCAGGGCAGGGAGGGAACAGGAAGGAGTCCTGGAGGTGAGGAAGAGCCCTAAAGCAGGAGAATGGGATGAAAAGCCTCCAAATTGGAGCTGGTTTTGACAGCTGTCTGGCTGTTTTCACAGCTCAGAATTCCATCACCAGAATTCCAGCCCATGAAACATTCACTCCTTTATTACACAGCTTGTCCATGGGGTTTGTAATCAGATAAAACCCTGGCTCAGCACTCCCCAGCCCCCTGTTCCCAAACCTGCATGGTGTGACACACACAGAGCTGCTCAGGACACAGAATGAGGCATCATGGAATCYTCATGGAATGCTTTGGGCTGGAAAGACCATCCAGCCCCACCCCCTGCCATGGTCAGGAAAACCTTCCACTGTGCCAGGTGGCTTTGTGCCCAATCCAGCCTGGCCCCCAYGGGGACAATCCCAACTCCATGGCCACAACTCACCTGTCTTGAGCACAACCAGGTGTGCGGAATCATCCCGGATGTAGGACACGGAGGCRATGTCATGGATGGGCACCCTGAGGATCAGGTCCTCCCCGTCCCTCCACACCAGTTTGATGTTGTAGGCAGAGAGGCTGATGACGGCGTCRTGCTCTGGGGTCAGCTGTCCCGGGAGCTGGTGGGCTCTCTGGAACACAGGTATTCATATGGAATTAGTCGTGGAATGGTTTGGTGTTTGCATTAGAAGGACMTTAAGAATTATCCAGCTCCCTGCCACAAGCAGGAACACCTTCCATTATCCCAGGTTGTTCCCCATCCAGTCTGGCCTGGAACACTTGCATGGATGGGGCAGCCACAGCTTCTCCAGAAAATCCATTCCAGTTCCTCATCACCCTTCCAGGGATGTTTCCCCTTTGGGAACAGCTTTCCCTCCCATCCATGGAACAGCCAGAGGAAGACAGCAGTTGGCTGAGGCCCCAGCCCTGAGGAAGGTCCGTGAGCCTGGATTTTTGYCCGCTGGGGCTCCTGGAGCAGCTGAGTGCTCACCTTGGCATTGTCGATCAAGTGCAGGATCTCCGTGCGGCTGGAGGGGTTCAGATATCCTGGGATGGAGGTGAGCTGCCCTAAATACTGGGAGAGAAGAGCCAAACAGTTACCACAGCATGGACATSATCCTGGACATGGCAGAATGAGTCATGGACATGGTCCAAAGAAAACCTGGAGTGAGAGGTGGGAATGTTCACCTGGAAAAAAGAAAGYTCCAGACAMACCTTAGAGCCCCTTCCAGTGCCTAAAGGGGCTTCAGGTGAGCAGGAGAGGGACTTGGGACAAGGGGRAATGGGTTTCCACTGCCAGCAGGGATGTTGGGATGGAATTCCYAATGAACAGGGCCTTTGTAGATACCTTGACTTCCTTCTCGATGTAGTCATGGAGCAGCAGGTCGGGCTCCACGCGGTCGGGAAGTGACACCACCACCGTGTGCAGCGGCCGCCGCTCCGTCACCTTCTCCTGCGCCTTCTTATCCCGGCCCTTCTCCCCCTTCAGGAACACTCGCTTGAAYGGAGACACAATTCCAGGCTGGGGAGAGAGCGGGAACACCAGGATCAGGRTGAGAAAGGGATTTGGCAACAGGGGGTCCGGCAGCCCCTCCTGCCTGGCACCCCTTAATCCCATCCTGCTGTTTTTGCCCCATGGACACGCCACGTTTCGAGCTATAAATCCATGGTTTTCCAAAGAAAACCCTTTTAATGGGACACAATATGAGTGCTGAATGTTACCACTACAAAAACATGGTGGTTTTCCCCCAAAGTCACTACGGTCAACCTTCCAGGTAAGAGAAATATAACTCTTATATTCCAGGTGAAAAGCAGATCCAGAGGCATCCTCAATGGTTTTGTACCTCCCTGAGGATCTGCTGTGGCAACTCAACAAGGAATGGCAAAAAACAGGCAGGAATGCTCCAAGGAGATCCCAAATCAGGAGAAATTACCTAGAAARCAGAATTCCTTGGGAAAATGGGTCTTGATGGCTCCTGAAATGCCACATTTGGAAAACTRCTGGAGTGAACATGGGGGCTCCCAGCTGTCCTTTGGCATCAACATGGGAATGCCACGTGCATCCCACCTTGCTCCACACCAGATAAATGAGTGGGAACATCCCCAAACTGCTCCAATTCCAGGTTTACCACATGAAATGGTGGAGCAGACAGATTCATGGCTGGATCTCAGAACTCCTTGGACATGTGACTCCAATGTCCCATTCCTGGTGGAATTCTTGTGCTTCCCACCCGTCAGGATAACCACATCCCGGTGTTCCTGATCCTCGTGGGCAAGAGAAAGGATGTGGGATATGAAGGGGCAGAGAACCTGATTCTGGTGGCAAATTAATTATCTAAACCAAGGAAGGGCTCCTGGGACAATGGACTACAAGGAACAACACGGACTTTGGGGACAGCCCAGCCTRGAAAAACATCCCTTGGAGCAGGGAGATAAAAATAGAGAGACCTTATAGGACAAATGGAAGAGGAAACAGCTCCACAGCTCAGCCACAGGAGAAGCAGTGTGGATTTTCAGGAAGCATCCACCTCTACACAGAGCATCCAGGAGGAGTCAATGATCCTCGATTGGGATATTCCATAATCCTGCCAAGGGGCTGGGACTCCAGAGAGAAGGAAATCCTGGACACAACAGGTGTGTTTACCAAGAGCAAAGGTTTGAGAACTCTCCAATCTCAGGAATGTYCCATCCGAAATTTTGCCTACCAATGCCTAAGGATCCAAATCCATAGGAATCTTTCAGCAGAGAAATGCAGCAATGTGCCTCTGGGATCAAGGTCATACCCAGACACTTCCCCCTCCACCAGGCAGGATCCAGATCTACCCCAATCCACAGAAAACCCCTTTTCCCTCAAGGATGTAGCTGCAGCCGKAGGGCTGGGATGATCCCACACCCTGCTGGCTGTCCTGGAGGAGGAACTGGGACCCCAAATCTGAGGCAGAGGCACTTCTGKCTGTAACACGGCCTGAAACAACTTCTGCTTTTTGGGGCTTCCCAAATTCCAACACCCACCTCGTCCTCCATGGAATTCCCAGCAGGAGAGCAGGCCCAAGCCAGGTCRGGGGAACCGCGGGGGCTTTGGGGGGAGCAGGGGCTGTTCCTCTCGTTTTGGGGGTGCCGGAACTGAGGTGCTTGGGACCAGGAAGTGCCACAGGCACAGCTTCCTCTGTCCCACGTGACAGATCGAGCTGGGGAGGGAACCGGGGCTGGGGTAAGAGCCCATTCCCTGCTCTCATCTCGCCTCCTGCACCCCTAAAAACTCCCCAAATCCTTCACCCTTTGCCATTACCACACTCAGGAGGGAAATATCCCCATCCCAAGGGARGTTGAGCCCTGGTTTCTCTTCCAAGTTCAGAGTTGTTTTGTTACGACACCTGGCTGGATCCCACATGCTGCTCCCAGAGGCCTTTCCAGTCTTAATGATCCCAAGACCCACTGAGTCCAKGGGCTGTAAAACTTTCTCCTGCCCAGAGCTGTGGCTGCCCCTGTATCCCTGGAAGCATCCAAGGCCAGGCTGGGCAGGGCTGGGAGTAACCAGGGATAGTGAAAGGTRTTCCTGCCCATGGGGGAGCTGGATGATCCTTGAGGTCYCTCCAATCCAAACCATTCCAAGATTCTGTTAAAAGTTTTATGTTTCCCATTTGCAAAGCAAATTTGGGAATGAGGTTACAATTCCCTGAAGAAGGAGGGTGGATGGAGAAGCAGCACTCCAAGACCTGCAAGAGGGTTTGAGAAGGACAAGGCCATCCTGGGAATGGGAACCAGGACTCATTCCCCCAGAAGCTGCTGGAGAGAGTCCAGAGGAGACCCCAGAGCTGCTCCCAGGGCTGGAGCCCCTCTGCTCTGGAGCCAGGCTGGGAGAGCTGGGGGTGCTCACCTGGAGAAGGGAAGGATCCAGGGAGAGCCCAGAGCCCCTTGCAGGGCCTAAAGGGGCTTCAGGAGAGCTGGAGAGGGACTGGGGAYGAGGGATGGAGGGACAGGACACAGGGAATGGCTTCCCASTGCCAGAGGGCAGGGATGGATGGGATATTGGGAAGGAATTGCTCCCKGAAAGGGTGGGGAGAGACTGCAATGGATTTCCCAGAGAAGCTGTGGCTGCCTCTGGATCCCTGGAAGTGTCCAAAGTGARGCTGGATGCGGCTTGGAGCAMCCTGGATTTGTGGAAGTTCATGTACCACCCCCATTCCCCATCTCCCAGCAAATACCAGCACATCTGCATCCCCCMTGCATCCCACAGCACAGATGCGCCAAAATCCACTTTATTTGGCCCCACAAAGAGCAGAAGGGCTCCAGCCCTGGAGCAGCTCCGTGTTCTCCTCTGGGCTCTCTGTAGCAGCTCCACATCCCTGTGCTGTTGGCCACAGGGCTGGGGCAGCTCTGCAGGTGGGAGCTTACCTGGGAGGGGCAGAATTTCCCCTCCCCTGCTGCCCATGTTGGGGATCAGCCCAGCCCACGGCACAAGGCTGGATATTTGGGATAATAAAGGAAGTTCAAGAAGAATTTCCCCCAAAGATCCGGCTCCAATCTCAACAACTCCATGTTTTAGGAGGGAAATGCTGAGGCAGTTGCTGGAAGAGGCAAGTGGGACCAACTTCAGTGATCCAGGGCATTCCCGAGCTGGAAAAACCAGGAATTCCACACTAACAGCTGATTACACAGAGAACTCCCGGAGGGAAACCGTGCAAGCTTTGGATCATCAGCAGTCACTGTATGGATTTCAGTCAGAGCAGCAGAAAATCCACCTCCACCCATTCTTCTTCCAGGGAATAAGCACCCTGGGAGCATCCATCCTGACCTGAGGCTCCCCGTGTGACACCAACCCTTCCAGCCCAGGGCAGGTTCCCAGGGCCCAGCTGGAATTCCAGACGGATCCATCCTGCCTCACAAAATTTAAGGGAAAGGAGTGTTTCACCCCAAACCTCAGGACGCAGCCCTACATTCCCACTGCAATAACCACAAGTGAGATCCAGGGAACATGAACTCTTGGAAGGAATTCCAGGGTTCCAGTTTAAACCTGTTCATATTTTACCCAAAGCTGGACTCAGCCCCAAAGCCGGGCTGGGATTTACCTCCTCATCCCAACCAAACCTGCCCTGAAATCCCTTTGGCTCAGCACTGAGAGAATTCAATTCCTTTACTTCGGTTCAGAATGCTGCTGGAATGACCTACAGAGTGGGAAAAGGAGGAAGAGTTTTCCCTGAGAGTGAGGAATACAAAGATGGATCTTCCTGTCTCCGTATCCAAATTATCCAGGTTAAATGGCGATCCACAGGCAGCAGCTCCAAGGGTTAATTAACCACCAAAATGGTGGAAAACTTGCTCCAAGGAAGCTCCGTAAGGCCACAGCTCAGCCCCGCTCCAGAGGGATGTGGGAAGCTCCTGATCCATTGGGATCAGGAACAAGAGCAGGGGACTGGAGTGGCCACAGTGGGAGTCACCAGTACAGGACGGACTGGGAAATGCRGGATCAGCCCTGGGAATTGTCTTCATCCAAAACACAGCAGGAAAGTGGGATGGAGAGACTGGAGTGGCCACGTCTGGGATTATCAGTAGTAGAGAGACTGGAAAGTGTGGGATCAKCCCTGGAAAAGGGCCATGAGGAGGGTTTAGGGATCAGAGGGAAGACTGATGGGATAAGAGGGTTGGGGGGACCGGCCCAATGTGTACCTGGGGAAGGGAAGGAGGGAAAGATCCAGACTCTTCCCAGTGCCAGGATACCCCAAGGAACAGGCGAGACACAGCCGAAAAGCCCCTGGAGCCTCGGGAGCTGATTTCTTCCCAAAAGCAGGACCATCCCGTCTCCAGGTGAAAAACTGCTCCCTCACTGGTGCTGCTGCTCCTGCAGCATCTCCCAGGGTCACCTGATGCCATCATGGGGATATAATTCCCAAATCTGACTATCTGAGGAGCCTGGAGGGCAATTCCCACAATAAACCCATTAAATTTTACTCATTCTGGGAATGTTTTGTTCAGCTCCAGGCAGAGCTTCACCAGGAACCTACTGCCACCTCCCGGGATCCCTGTGAGGCCAGGGACTCCCAAAAAAAAAACAATTTCTCCCCAAAATTATGRGATCAAATGCATCCCCATGCTCCAGGTGTGTGGAGCAGCTCTGGCTTTGGCTGAGCCTCTCCCAGGGGACACAGACATGGGTTTAAAGGAGAGAAATTAGGGCAACACAGGCACGGCTGGAGCTGCTGAGACCCGGAGACATAATAAAGGCACAAATTCATAGATGTATAAGTTAAATCAATTGGCATCAATAATAATTTAAAYAAATTAGTAAACACATAAATTAATCGCTCCATAATTAACAGCCCCATCAATTAATAACCTCCTCAAAGACATTCACATCGGGAGGYTTTGGGGTGGGGGGTCCAGGTAGATCCCCAGGGAGGGGAGCCAGGCAGATTCGCCAGAGAAGGGGAAGCTGGGCAATTCCCGAGAATGGGCTCTGAAAAAGCTCCGGGAAGGGGATCGGGCACCGCCGGGAGGGCTCAGGGCCGGGAAAAGGGCCGACCCCCATCCGGGCTGAGCGACCCTCGGGGTAGCACAGCGCGACCCCCGGCTGTCCCTCTGCCCCGGACCCCCCGATCTCACCTTCTTGCCCTTCTTGCCCTCCTCCTCCATGGCTCCGGCGGCGGCGGCGGCCCGGGCCCCCCCCGGGGCATCCCGGCCCGGGTGAGCGGCGAGGCCTCAGCACGCAGCGGCAGCGGCCATGGCCCACTCGGTTCCCGCTCCAGCCCCGCTTCCCGATCCCGATCCCGCTCCCGGCCCCGCTCCCGGTCCCGGTCCCGGTCCCGGTCCCGGCGCCGCCTCAGCGCCCGCGACTCAGTCCCGCCGCCATGTTGGGCGGCGCCTTCCCGTGACGTCATCGCCCCGCCGCCGGGGGGAGACGAGAGCAATGCGCCTGCGCCAAACCGTCCGATCCGCAAGCCGAGCCCACCCCGCATTGAAACCACGCCCTCCATTGGTGTACCCTGTAGGACACGCCCATCACCATTAGACCACGCCCCCATACCGCAGCCTCCATGGGATGTAATACCGGGGCCGCACCCACCACCATCTGACCACGCCCTCCTCTGGGCCCCGCCCACTCCATGTGCTGCATGTGCTGATCCCTCCGCCCCTTCGCGCCACGGTTACGTCATCACGAGGTGCACGCTCTCTCAGCCATGGCGGCCGCAGGAGCAGGTGAGGGTGGGATGGCGGCCTGGGCTCATCCGCCGCTAATCGGGGTCACCCGCCGCCATCCACGCGCGGGACCGCCACCGCGGTGACCAGCGATGGTTGCCTGGGGCTGCCCCGATGGCTTCAGGGGCCGCGTGGGGTGCGGCGCTTCTCCYCTGTCGGGCTCCGCCGTGAGGGGTSGCGGGGCGCGGTGCATGCTGYGRAGGGCTCCCCGGGCTGTTCTGAGGCATCCTGGGGTTTTCCGCCGCAGGCTCCAGCATGGGGGGGCCTGGCGTGGCTCCCACCATTCCTGCAGCGCTGCCAGAGCATCCCGGGGCCGTTTGAGGCCTCTCCCGGCGCTTCCCGGGGGCGGTCATAGACTCCCCGGACACGTTCGGCCTGGGAGGGAGTGAGGGAGAACACTCCGAGATTGGGGGAGTCTAAATTCCCGGGCAGGGCCTGGGCGCGGTGCGGCCRGTGACATTCCTGCACTTTACCATTCCAGGCTCCTCCTCCAAGGATCCTGAGGGATCCGGGAAGCCACCAGGAAGAAAGAAGTGGATTCAAGGAACCTGTCAGCATAATTAGCCTGATTTTGGTTAACTAATACTAGCAAGGCCTCGACCTCGCGTTTCACCGGSGCTGAAATTCCATCAGAATGCCAAGACCTAGGGCATAGAGCTCCAGTGTGGCAGAATTTAGTCATTGACGCCACTTGTCCAGGTGAGAGTCATGCCCATAGGGAGTCTCCAGGGCTGAAATGCCGTGGGAATATCGGGCAGTTTGACTCCTGGGAGCCTGGGCAGGTCCTGGTGTCACCATGGGCTGCGGGGCCACGTTCTTGGGCTGTCCCTGTGTCACCCCTCRCCCCAGCAGGTGATTCCCGGGGTGACACCAACCTGCCAGTGCTTCCCAGGCCTTCTGGAGAGCCCAGAATGCACCGTGTCCCGGTGCCCATGGCTCTTCCTGCYGCAGGCTCCAGCATGGGGGTGCCTGCTGTGGCTCCTGCCATTCCTGAAGCTCTGCCAGAGCATCCTGGGGCCGTTTGAGGCCTCTCCCGGTGCTTCCCGGGGGCGGTTATGGAAACCCCGGACATCCCCAGGCCCGAGTGGGATTTGGGGAAAATGGGGGCAGCCCGGGGCTGTTCTCAGTGTAGCAGAACTGATGACATTTCCACCCTTCTCCATTCCAGGCTCCCGCTGACGTGATCCAGAGGGATTCAGGAAGCCACCAGGAAGGAGAAAGTGTGTGCGACACTCTTGTCACCATAATTGACCCAGTGCTGGTTAATTAACACTGCCAAACCCAGCAAGGCGTGCGCTAGGTGTCACCTRCCCAGGCCAGCGCTGTTACCCCACAGGGATTTATCTGTCCAGGAGGAGCTTGAGCAGTGTGGCAAATTCCCTGTGGAAGAATGAGGATTCAGTGATAACAAAATCAGGGAATTAAACATGAACCCATAGTTTTTCCATGTTTTCATTCCAAAGCTTTTTTTTTCTTTCCATTTCAGGTTAAAAGGGATAAAACTGAGGATTCAGTGGGAGGGGAATGAGGTGCTCCAAGTGTTACATCAGATATGCCTGTGGAGAGCAGGGACCCACCCTGTGTCCCCATGCCCCTGTGTCCCAGATCCAGATGTCCCTGAYGGTGTCACTCTGTCCCAGGGTTTCCTGGGCTTGCTATCTCCATGTCCCACGTTTAGATGGCCATGGTAGCCCCATGTCCCTGAGCTACAGTGTCYCGAATACTCATTGTCCTGATATCCATGGGTCCTGGTGTTCCCATGTACCAGATCCTGGTGGTTCCAGTGCCTGTATGCCTTGTCCCCAAGCCCCAAATGTCCCTGAGGCCCAGTGTCCAAGATAACCAGAGTCCCAATGTCCCTGAGTCCTGATGTCCCAATATCCCTGTGTCTTGGTGTCCCCTTCTCCCAGGTCCTGATGTCCCCATGCTCACATCCTGTGTCCCAGTGTCCCCAGTCCCTGGGTGTCCGGGTTCCCGATGAACCGGGTCAGGCTRGCTGGGAAGGCTGGGAGGTGGGGCGTAATTCCCAGCTGGAGAAAGGTGGCTCTAGTGTGCTCCTGCTGGAATCTTGAAAGCTGCCGAGGAGCTGCTCCTCTATTAGAACCAATCAGTTCAGTTAATGGGTCAAGTAATTAACTTAATGGATCAATTAATTAAAGGAGCATATAATTACATTGCCAGGTTAAATGCATTAATGGGATATTGTAGGATAAAGCCAGCCCCCGTTATTTTGATTGATCGACCTTGTTGCAACAGCTGGTGGGGGAGAACGAGGTGTCCCTGGGATCTAAATGCACAACAGGACATTGAGGGGACAGCGGGAGATGGGGAAAAGGATTATTAGCGGGGTAATTAATTAATGGCGYCCCGTTAGGGGAGTCCTTGAAAGGACTGAGGAGGGGTTGGGCGTGCCTGGGTGCCACAGCAACCGCTCCGTGTGAGGGCGGAGCTCCGCCATGACCGCGCCGTCCGCTCCAGTCAGGGAGCGAGGCGTTCCCATGGCAACAGCGCTTATCCCGCCCAAAGGGGCGTGGCCTAGCGAGCGCCACCGGTTATGGGCGGGGCGTCGTCGTGGAAACCCGCGCGAGGGGCGGGGCGTCKCCATGGGAACCGGACCGGAAGTGTCGCGCGGACTCGGTGTCCCGTGAGGCCCCGCGCGCGGTTCCGGCGGGCCGGGCCGGGCTGGGATCGGGATCAGGGCCGGGATCGGGCCGGGATCGGGGCCAGGCCGGGATCGGGGCCGGGCCGGGATGGAGGCCGTGCCCCGCATGCCCATGATCTGGCTCGACCTCAAGGAGGCCGGAGAGTTCGCCTTCAACGCCGCCGTCAAGAAGGTGGGGCCGGGGAAGGGCCGGCGGGGCCTGCGGGGGGCCGGGAGGGGCCCGGGAGGGGCGGGGCGGGAGTGTCGGGGTCTGTGGGGAACGGGAGGCGTTGGGAAGGGAAACGAGGTCTGGGAGCCTTTGAGGTGCTCAGGGAAGGGGAAAACGGCGGTCGAGATGCCTGGGGAGTCCCTGTAGCAGTCGGGAGTTGGAGCTGGCGGGGCTTTGGATCAGGACAGGGGCACGGGAGGAGTGAGACGGCGCGATCCTCCTCCCCGGCGCTCACCGAGGGCCGGGGGGGCAACGACTTGTCCCTGCCATCACGATGGGGACCTGATTCATTAGTCACTTAATTAACAGCTGTAAACAAGCTCCACCCCTGCCCGGCGCTTCCCGTGCCACGGGATTTATGGATGGGGAGGAACTGGGGGGTTTCTCAGCGTTTGTGTCGCTCCCTCGCGGTTTTTGCGGGGGACCCAGGCGGCCCCTGAGAATGTCCCCATCCTGCTTCACCTTGGGGGTCGGGRGGACCTTCTCCCTACCCATAACTCCTTATTCCACCCTCAGCCATTCCCCGATCCCATCCCACGAGTTGCCCGTGGGGATGAAACTCCTCCTCGGGAACTCCCCCGGTCCGGCCTGGTGTTCCCACCTCCCCACCGGCCTCTCCAGGGGATGGGGGTGTTTCGGGCCTCTGAGCGCCCCTCCCTTTTCCAGTTTGTCTTGAAGAACTATGGGGAGAACCCGGAGAACTACAATGAGGAGCTGCGGAAGCTGGAGCTGCTCCGGCAGGTGAGGGGAGACCCTCGGGAGCCTCCCTGGGATGGCTCTGCCGACACCCCTGGCCTGAGGGCTGTGCCTTGGCTGCTCCTCTCCCTCTCCTGTGTCTCACAGAGCAGCCTTTGGATGACCCCAATGATCCAGRAGCCACGAGCTGCTGGGTGGGGGGAGCAGGGACAGCTCCTGATGGTGGTCCCAGGGTCCCCAAAGTCCAGGGGGTTCTAAGTAGGCTCAGAGTTGGGGGGCCCAGACTCCCCCAGCCCARCACTGGGAATTATCCTGAAGCAGGAGAACAGGAAACCTTCCCAGGTGCTCCTGCTGTTTCCTCCTCTCCCAGTGTGGTCTGGGACACCCCAGTTCTATCTCCCCAAATCCCTTTGGTTCTCCCACCACTGGGAGCTGTGCCAGGAGTCAGAGCCTCATTTTCCCACCCACTCCCTCCGGACCCATAACATGGCTCTTCCAGCCTCATTTTTGGGAGAACACGCCCATTCCCAAGTTTTTCCAGGAGGTTGTGCCTCATCTGGAGCAGCCGGATGATGCTGGCTCTGGCCTCCCCTGCACGACGGCTCCTGTTCCTGCCTGGAACGTGTCCCCCAAACCTCTCCCTCCTCCTGTCCCGTTCCCAGAGCGCCGTCAGCGTTCCCAGGGACTTCGAGGGCTGCAGCACCTTGCGCAAGTACCTGGGACAGCTGCATTTCCTGCAGAGCCGCATCCCCATGGGAAACGGGCAGGACGCGGCCGTGCCGGTCACCTGGTGAGGGGGGCTGGTGTGGGGACCCTGGGATGGGGACCCTGGGATGGCGATCCTGGGATGAGGACCCTGGGATGGCGATCCCTGGATGGCGATCCCGGGGTGGCGATCCCAGGATGGGGACCCTGGGGTGGCGATCCTGGGATGAGGTCCCTGGGATGGGGACCCTGGGATGGGGACCCTGGGATGGGGTCCCTGGGATGGGGACCCTGGGATGGCGATCCTGGGATGGCGATCTTGGGATGGCGATCTTGGGATGGCAATCCCGGGGTGGCGATCCCTGGATGGCGATCCCGGGGTGGCGATCCCAGGATGGGGACCCTGGGATGGGGGCTGAGCCAGGCGGGATGTGGCCGTGCCCCTCCCCTGAGGAGGAGCTGCTTTGGGGGCCCCTTGGGGAACAAGGTCCTGTACTGGGTGGCACAGGGGGATCCCAGAGACCCCTTGGGGTACAGMAGTATCCTGCCTGGGGTGGCACAGGAGGATCCCAGAGAACCTTTGGGGAACGGAGCCCTTCACAAGGTGGTCCCGGGGACCCTTGAGGAATTGGGCTCTCAATAAATCTTCCTYCTGGAAGAATCTCTGGTTGTTCCCTGTCCTATGCCCCCTTTCCCCCAGGACTGAGATCTTCTCGGGCAAGACGGTGACACATGAGGACATCAAGTATGAGCAGGCCTGTGTCCTCTACAACCTGGGTGAGCTCCCGATTCCCATGGGTTTGGGTGTCCCTGATGCAAGCCCCCATTCCCAGGGGCTGTTGGGGTGTCCCTGCCCTCTGAGCCCCAGCCTGTCCCCACAGGAGCTCTGCATTCCATGCTGGGAGCCATGGACAAGCGAGTGTCTGAGGAGGTAATGACCCCAGAATCCAGCCACCTGTCCCACTAGGGGAAAGGTGGCACCTGGATGTGGCAGGGTAGGGACTGTTCCTGTACTGGGCCCTGTGAGGAACGTGGCATCTGGGGACAGGTTTGGCATCTGTGGGTACARGACATTGAGAGGCTGGAGCGTGTCTGGGGACAGGAGGGGAGCTGGGGAAGGGGCTGGAGCAGCAGGAAGGACTGAGGGATGAGGGCACTCAGGAGGAGCTTTCAGCACAGCAAGGGGTGGGGTCAGGCTCTGCTCTCAGGGAACAAGGGACAGGAGGAGAGGGAACGGCCTCAGGCTGGGCCAGGGGAGGGTCATGTTGGATATTGGGAATGTTCCTTTCTGGAAAGGGCTGTCCAGCCCTGCTACTGCTGCCCAGGGCAGGGGTGAGTCCCCATCCCTGGAGGGATTTAAAAGCCCTGGGGATGTGGCATTTAGRGACATRGTCAGGGGTGGCCTTGGCGGTGCTGGGGGCTGGGGGGACTCTGTGATCTGGGAAGTCTTTTCCGAGCCAAACAATTCCATCCTCTCAGGGCATGAAGGTTTCCTGCACCCACTTCCAATGTGCTGCTGGTGCCTTCACCTACCTGCGGGATCACTTCCCACATTCCTACAGTGTGGACATGAGCCACCAGATCCTCAGCCTCAACATCAACCTTATGCTGGTAGGGACTGGGAGCACTGGTCATACTGGGACACCTCAGAGTGTGTCTGTAGGGTTGTGTTCCCTGTGGATCTGAGGAGACAGGACCCCAGTGTTCCGCAGGGGCTTCTTTGTGGGGTCTGGGTTCTCTCTCTCAGGGGCAGGAGATTTGTGGGAGGCAATGGGGGAAGGCTCAGGCCATTCCTAGGCTCTCCAAGCACCCTCAGGGCTGATAATCCCTGTGCCATATCCAGCCCTTGGGAAAGGGGCTGGAGCCAGTGGGTCCTGCCAGGGGTCTGGGGTGTCCCAAGGGTTGAAGAAACTGAATGTTCTTCTCTTGTCCCTGGCAGGGCCAGGCACAGGAATGTCTCCTGGAGAAGTCCATGCTGGACAACAGGAAAAGCTTCCTCGTGGCCCGGATCAGTGCCCAGGTGAGCTCCAGGAGCTGCTCCCACCGTGGGCCTGCTCCTGCTGCTCTGGGATCAGGAGCTGGAGRGGGACTTTGGGCAAGGGCCTGGAGTGACAGGCAGTGGCTTCACACTGACAGGGGAGATTTGGGGGGAGTTTGGGAAAGAATTTTTTGCTGTGAGGTGAGTGAAAGACTGGAATGGATTTCCCAGAGAAGCTGTGGCTGCCCCGTTCCTGGAAGTGTCCAAGTCCAGGGTGGATGGGTCTTGGAGCAACCTGGACTGGTGACAGGTGTCCCAGTGATGTCACCAATCCCTGGCTTTGGTCCCAAACACATCCCTGAGTTCCCCCAACCATTTTTCCAGGCGATCTGAGTCCTTGGGGTGGTGCCAGTGATTCCCCCTTCCCTGCACTGCTCTGATTCCACCTGGGATCCGGCTTCCCAGGAGGTTTCCCCACCCTGTCCCTCCCCATAGGTGGTGGATTACTACAAGGAGGCSTGCCGGGCGCTGGAAAACTCGGAGACGGCCTCACTGCTCGGCAAGATCCAGAAGGATTGGAAGAAACTGGTTCAGATGAAAATCTATTATTTTGCTGCCGTGGCCCACGTGAGTGAGGGGGAGCTGGGGCTGGGGGGTCTCTCCCTGTGCTCCTATCCCACCTCAGGACACTTGTGCCAGCTGCAGAGCAGCTCTGGCCGCTCACTGGGGTTTTCCTGCCCCTCTCAAAGCTCTCCCTGGAGTTACAGAACTCTGATCCCTGTTTTCTTCCAGCTGCACATGGGGAAACAGGCTGAGGAGCAGCAGAAGTTTGGGGAAAGGGTAAGTGGGGCCATGTCATCCCATTCCATCTGCTCCAGCCTCTGGGTCGTGGTCCTGGGAAAGGGGTTGGATCCTGGAAGAGGTTGGGTATCCACAGCCTTTGGTACACAAGCATGTCACCCAAGTCCTGTGTCCTGCCAGGGCCTTTCCCAGGGTGCTCTGGGAAAGCCGTGGGAAGCTATGGCCCTCGGGAATCGGTGTCCCTGTGCAGAGCCAGGACATTACCTCCCATGCTGACCCCAATTCCTGCTCTCCCACAGGTCATCTACTTCCAGAGTGCTCTGGATAAGCTCAACGAAGCCATCAAGCTGGCAAAGGTGCRTTCCTGCTGGCTGGGATTGGAGGCTTCCTGCTCCACAGCTGGGCCCTGGGCTGCCAGGCTGGGAGGAGGAGGAGGATTGGGATCAGTTTAAGAGGGTCAGGTGCCTCCAGGCCTCTCTGTTTCCGTCTGGAGCACGATGGGATGCTCTAGGAGCACTCAGACAGCAATTCCTGCTCTCAATTCCACAGGGACAGCCTGAAACTGTGCAGGAAGCTCTGAGGTTCACCATGGATGTCATCGGAGGGAAGTGAGTCTGTGGGGCACCCCAGAGTGTGCCCTTCCTTTTCCAGGGGTCRGGAATGTTGTGGGGCAGGGAGCCTGGGGAGTGTTCCCAGTGTCCCCAACATGCAGAGCCCAGCACTGCCCCAGGCCCTGGGGATGGACAGCTGCTGTGGGATTGCTGGAGCAATCCCAGGAGATCCAGTGGGGCTGAGCCCATTGAAGTGAGCTTAGGGAKCCAGGAATGTCGCCCGCTTCTTCCCTTCCAGCATCACTTCCCATTCCAGGTACAATTCAGCCAAAAAAGACAATGACTTCATCTACCACGAGGCTGTGCCCGCACTGGACACTCTGCAGTCTGTCAAAGGTCAGGGGGATTTGGGACTTCTGGGGACAATGATCTGCTGGAATTGAGCAGGAGGATCCTTTCAGGAGCGATCCCAGCCCAGCTTTTTTTCTGCAGGTGCCCCCTTGGTGAAGGCTCTGCCCGTCAACCCCACGGACCCCGCGGTCACCGGCCCTGACATCTTTGCCAAGCTGGTGCCCATGGCTGCCCACGAGGCCTCGTCCCTGTACAGGTGTGTCTGGGCTCTGGCCAGAGTGGGATGGGATGGGATGGGATGGGATGGGATGGGATGGGATGGGATGGGATGAGATTGCGATGGGTTGCGATGGGATGGGATGGAGCCTGGTGGGGGGGTTTCCCTGCTCATGGAATGTTCTGTCCTGTTCCAGCGAGGAAAAGGCCAAACTGCTGCGGGATGTGATGGCCAAGATTGAAGCCAAGAACGAAGTGCTGGAGTACGTGAGGGGCCCAGCCCTTCCACCCCACGGGGTCCCGGTGCTCCCGAGSCTCTGGGAGGGGGGACACTGCCACCCCTCAGGGGCCCCTCTGTGTCCCACAGCCAGTTCATGGACTCCATGCAGCTGGAYCCTGAGACCGTGGACAACCTGGACATGTACAACCACATTCCACCCGTGCTGATGGAGAAATGTGCCGCGCTCAGCGTGCGCCCCGACACCGTCCGCAACCTCGTCCAGTCCATGCAGGGTGAGGGCTCCAGCACTGCAGGGTGCTGGCAGGGCCTGGGGGATGGCACTGATCCCTGCCCAGGGTGTTGAGAATGTTCTCAGCAATAGCTGGTTCTGTGCTGGCATAAATTCCTGAATCCCAGGACATTTTCCCTGTTGGATKGGAGGGGGGATGACCCCAAGGGCACGGGTGCCCAGGAGCCCAACATACCAAAGCCTGGGCTGTYGTGTCCTTGCCTGTGGCTGCCCACAGCTGGGTTTATTCCTGGAGCCGTTGTGTCCCTGCMTGGCTTCAGCCTGGAGCAGGCGGGAGGTAGCCCAACCCCCACCAGCCCCCCGTATCTCCCCAGTGCTCTCCGGGGTCTTCACCGATGTGGAGGCATCGCTGAAGGAGATCCGGGACCTGCTGGAAGAGGATGAGGTGCAGGAGCGGAAGCTGCAGGAGCTGCTGGGGAGGGTCCCGCCGGCACCGGGGTCCCCCCCGGGGCTGGCCGAGGTGAGCAAGGAGTGCTCCAAGTACCTGGAGCTACACGAGAAGGCCAGTTTCACCAACACCGAGCTGCACCGTGCCATGAACCTGCACCTGGGCAACCTGCGCCTGCTCGGCGGCCCCCTGGAGCAGGTCCGGGCYGCGCTGCCCACCCCCAGCCTCTCCGAAGGTGAGTCCTGGCCCCGGGGTGCTGCAAGTGTTCCCTTGGGGCTGGCGGAGGCAGGGTCGCCCCTCCCTGTGCCCCTTGGTGGTCCCTGTGTGTCACCTGGCACCGTCCATGCAAGTGGGATGAGAGCTTCCTCTGGGAACATGCAGGGTGTGTCCTGTTTGGGAACAGAGGGGACAGAGACTGTCCCAGCCAGACCTGGCTCTGCAGATCCCACCCTGCGGGCTCGGTGYGGTTCCTCGGGATCCGACCGGGCCCCTGACCCCACCCCACCCCCAGATGACAAACAGGTGCTGCAGAACCTGAAGCGGATTCTGGCCAAAGTGCAGGAGATGCGGGACCAGCGAATGTCCCTGGAGCAGCAGCTGCGGGAGATGATCCAGAAGGATGACATCACAACCTCACTGGTTACTACTGACCGCTCTGAGATGAAGGTGGGTTTGGGGACACCCCGTGTCCCATTGAGGGACCGCCCCATCCCCAAGCCCTGCGGACCATCCTGTGTCCCCTCCCGTGTCCCGGCAGAAGCTCTTCGAGGAGCAGCTGAAGAAGTACGACCAGCTCAAAGTGTACCTGGAGCAGAACTTGGCTGCCCAGGAGAACGTGCTCAAGGCCCTGACCGACGCCAACGTCAAATACGCGGCCGTGCGCAAGGCCCTGGCTGAGGTGGAGCACAAGTGAGTGGGGAAGGGGGGTCCCAGTGCAGTGGGGGGTCTCAGGGCCCAGGAACGGCCCTCACCCCCACACCCTGGGACCTGTGGGGACACCGCGGCTTCTCCCGTCCCACCCCACTGCCGGGGGGTGCCCTTGTCCTGCCCCTGCACCYATGCCAGTGGGAACTGGAGTGTCCCCCAGGTGCCTAGAGCTGGCTACAAACCTTTACCCTGGCATTGCGTCCTGCTGAGCCCCTCCATGCCCCTCTCCCAGATGGAACACGACYGTGCAGACCCTGGTGGCCTCTTACGAGGCCTATGAGGACCTGATGAAGAAGTCCCAGGAGGGGAAGGATTTCTACACGGACCTGGAGGGGAAGGCGGCCAAGCTGCTGGAGCGAGCRCGAGCCGCGTGCCAGGCCAGCGAGGCACACCGGCAGCAGCTGCTGGAGAGGTGGGTGGATACTGCCTGGGCAGGGGCCAGTGAGACCGCGGGTGGGGGGAAAGGGCTTTGGGGAGCTTTGGGTGGTGGCCTGGGTGGAATGGCGGGGGTGGGCACTTCTGGTGCCCGTGGGCCAGTGTGGGGACAGCACCCAACCATAYACTGAGCCCCCTGTCCCCCCAGGGAGCTGAAGAAGCAGCCGCCTCCCCGACCCACGGCCCCGAAGCCCCCCCTGCAGAAGAAGCTGCCGGAGCTGGAGGCTGGGGGTCCCGAGGCCGCCGAGTTGGGCTCCCTGGTGCTGTCGGAGCTGCCAGAGGAGCTGCGGAGCATCCCCCCGGAGCTGCTGCCTGGGTCTCTGGCCCAGCTACCCCCGCCTGCGCTGGCCGCCATGGCCGSGGGGCTGCGGCCCCCTGAGCCCTACATGCTGCCAGGAGGGGTGGCCAGCGCCCCGCTRCCACCCTTGGCCCCCACGCCCCCCTTCCCGGGCCACTACCGCCTGCCCGGGCCCCCTGCCATGCCTGGCCCCTTCCCTCCCACCGGGGGAGTTCCGGGGCAGCTCCTGCAGCCCTCGGCCCCTGCCGGGCCCGCCCCCAGCTCTGCCGCCCCCCAGCTCTTCCCGGCCACACCCCTGATCCGTGCCCCGGGACAGCCAAGCTTTGGGGGGCCCCATGGGCTGCCCCCGCGCTCGTCCCCCCAGCACGGGGCCCTGCCCACCCCCGCCTACGGCCTGGGCCAGCCCGGGGCAGCCCCTGGCCCACTCCGGCCCCCCATGCCTGGGGCAGCACCCGTGGTTGCCCAGCCAGGGATGGGTGGCCCTGAACCCCCGGGGACACGCCCGGCCACCACCACGGTGGACAGTATCCAGGCCCCCATCTCCAGCTGCTCYTTGCCCCCCCGCGGACCTCCGGGCCCCTTCCTGCCCCCCCAGCGCCCGGCGGTGCCCCCTTCCCCCTTCCCTTTCCCCTACACTGCAGCGAGAGTTCAACCCTTCACGGCACCGGCCCAGCCTCCCTTTCCCCCGGCACAGCCTCCGCCCGCCTTCGCCCAGGGCCCCCAGCACTTGCCCCCGCGTCCCTTCCTGTCCCCGGGCCAAGCCCAGRCCCCGCTGCCCTTCCAGCAACCGCCCCGAGTCCCCCTGGCCGCCCCGGCCCAGTTCCCCCAGCAGCCCTTCAGCGGTCCTGGGGGACAGCTGCCACCCCCGGCCCCGGGGCAGKCCCCGCTGCCCCCGCAGCTCTACCAGCTCCCCGGACAGGACCAGCTGCCCCCCACGGGCCTCACCCCACATCCGGGGGCCGTGCCCTTCCCCAGGACCCCTGCCCAGAGCGGACCCCCGGCCCTGGGGGCGCTCCAGACGGTGCCCCCCGGCTCCCCAGCGCTGCCCTTCTGCCCCAGCCCGGCCCCACCCAGCGCTCAGTTGCCCCCCGGGACCATGGCCCTGGGCCCCCCCGCGCCCACCCCACCCACCCCGGCCCCCTCTCCCGGCCCCGTGCCGGGTACCGTGGTGGTCCAGGGCCCACTAGTCCCCTCCCCGGCTCCGTCTCCGTCCCCTGCCCTGCCTATGCAGCCCCCGGCGCCGCGACCCTCGCCGGCTCTGCCCCCGCCGGGCGCCGGGGATGCACCGTTCCCGCGGCAGAGCGCCTGCCCTGCCGACCTGCTGTCGTCCAGCCCCGAGAGCCAGCCCGGCGGCTCGGCCGCGCCCGGGGGGCTGCTGCAGCCCACTAAGGCGGGGGCGCAGGAGGGGCAGCGGCCCCGGGCCGTGCAGCTCATCGAGGCCGACCCTTACGCGGAGCCCGAGCGCGTCCGGCGGCTGCTGGCGGAGCTGGAGCGGTTCCGCGCCCAGGCCGAGCGGCTGGAGCGGCCCGCACCAGGCGGTGGCTCCGAGCTGGACGCGCTCTGGAAGGAGCTGCAGGAGGCCCAGGAGCGTGACGCCCGGCAACGCTCCATCGCCATCGCCCGCTGCTACTCCATGAAGAACCGGCACCAGGACATCATGCCCTACGACTGCAATCGCGTCGTGCTGCGCTCGGGCAAGGATGACTACATCAACGCTAGCCGCGTGGAGGATCTGTCCCCGTACTGCCCCGCCCTCATCGCCACCCAGGCCCCGCTGGTCGGCACCGCCGCTGACTTCTGGCTCATGATCTACGAGCAGAAGGTGTCCGTGGTGGTCATGCTGGTGTCCGAACAGGAGCTGGACAAGGTGCGTCCTGTCCTGGGTGCGGGGATGGCCGGGCAGGGCCCCGGTGACGGGATACTCTGCCCGGTGCCCATGGCCGGGCGTCGCCAGGCCCTGTGGGACCCGAGGGTCCCAGGGGTGTGCTGACCTCCTCTCCCGTGGCAGAAGGTGCTCCGGTACTTCCCGTCGGAGCGGGGCCAGCCGGTGGCGCAGGGCCCCCTGACCCTGGTGCTCACCAGCCTGCGGGTGACCCCCACGCACGTGGAGCGGATGCTGACGCTGCAGTACCGTGACCAGAGCCTCAAACGTACCGTCGCCCACCTCCAGTTCACCTCCTGGCCTGAGCTGTACGCGGGGGAAGGAAGGGGGTGGGAGCTTTGGGGGGTCTCACTGTGGTGAGGGTGGGTTGGAGTGTTCTCAGAGCCCTGATCGCCTGGGGGGCGGTTCCAGGATCACAGCTCTGGAGTGGGCGTGTTTGGGCAGCCCTGACCCCTCTGGGGGGGCTGAGCGCAGGGTCCTCCAGTGAGTTTGCATTCCCCCACCCCGCAGGGGCCTGCCCGACAGCAAGGGGAGCCTCCTGCGCTTCATCCAGGAGGTGCATGGCCATTACCTGCACCAGCGCCCACTGCACACTCCTGTCGTGGTGCACTGCAGGTGAGCGGGGCAGGTGGGCTCCCAGGGCAGGGGACAGGGGCTCCCTTCTCGTCTCTCGGGGCCGTCACGACTYGCGGTCTCTCCGCAGCTCCGGCGTGGGCCGCACCGGCGCCTTCTGCCTGCTCTACGCCGCCGTGCAGGAGGTGGAGGCCGGGAACGGCATCCCGGACCTGGCGCAGCTGGTGAGGCGCATGCGGCAGCAGCGCAAGCACATGCTGCAGGAGAAGGTACTGCGGGGGGCGCAGCCTCCGGGCACTGGGACAGGGGCTGCATCTCCCAGGTCTCACCATGTCCCCTCCCTGCAGCTGCACCTCAARTTCTGTTTCGAGGCCGTCCTGCTCCACGCCGAGCAGGTGCTGCTGCGCCATGGCGTGGGTGGCCCTGCCTTGGCCAAGCCCCCCAACAGCACCTCCCCCAAGGTATGTGTGCAGGGGTTTCGGTGGATTTTGGGGAGCTCTGCCACTCCCAGGGCTCATGGGGCCACTCTCCCCYAGCTCTACTTCCAACAGGACCCCCAGGACCTGGTGCTGGGGGGGGACGTGCCCATCAGCTCCATCCAGGCCACCATCGCCAAGCTCAGCATCAAAACAGGGGGGCCCAGCACAGAGCCTGGGGAGGGCTGGGGGGTGGATCCCGCTTCCCCCCCAGACCCTGTGGATCCTGAGGTGCCACCRGTGATTCCTGACGGCGTCGTGGACGGTGTCCCCGAGCTCCCTGCCCCGGAGCCACCCGTCCCCGAGCCATCGGGTGACACTGAGAGCAGCAACCATATTGGGGGGGAGAGCCCCGAGGGGCCGGAGGGACCGCCAGAGCCCCCTGCTCCCCCCCCAGCTGCCGCCTCCTCCTCCTCACTGGAGCTCTTGGCCTCACTGACGCCAGAGGCCTTCAGCCTGGACGCCTCCCTCAAGGGCAAACAGCGCATGAACAAGCAGAATTTCCTGCAGGCGCAGCCGGGTGAGGGGCTCCGGAGGCCACGGCCCAGCGATGACCCCCTCAGCATGCTCGACCCCCTTTGGACCCTCAACAAGGCGTGAGGGGGGTGGGGGCCTCCCGGCCCCCAGCCCCACTTTGTTTGACTCCAGGTAGAACTGACTTTTTCAGCTCTTTGCTACTAAAATAAAGCGAGTTTATCTGCAGGGCCGGGTCGTGCTGCTGTCGGGGGTGGGAGGATCAGRGCTCAGCCTAGCTCGGGTTAGTTCCGTTTAATGGATGTTCCTGCACACGTTATAAAACACGATCGGTACAAAAAGCGTCCCCTGTACAGCACAAAGGTACAGCTGGGCGAAGGCCACCCGCGGGGGGCTGGGCCAGGGTCCCGGGGGTCTCCCCTGGCCCAGGCCGGCGCCGCCTCTACAATCACCGGGGGTCAATAACAGACGTCATCGGCGGTTCGGGGGCACAGCGGGAGGGGCGGGGCTGCAGCGGGGCTTGCAGAGCAACGGGCGACGGGAGCGGAGTCCCTGGCCCCTGCTCGGGGGTCCTGGGGGGGGAGCCCGGCTGCTGCCCCATCCCTGACGGTGCACCTTGGTCCCGCTGTGACCCCACTCGCGTCCCTCCCCAGTGGCTGCGGGAGAGGGGCGAGGGCTCCGCCCACTCCCAACCTGAGAAAAGCCTCCTCTGGCCCCGCAGCGGGAAGAGGAGGAGGAAGGGAAGGAGGAGGAGGAGGAGGAAGGTGCTATTGCTGCAGACGGGGCGCAGGAGAGAGCCGGGCAGGGCAGTTGTGCCGGGGCGCGGCAAGGACAGCACTGCCAGGGGCTGGSCCCCCCCGCCCCCTGCCCCAATAAATAACTATTTACAGCGTATAAATAAATAGGGCGGGGGCTGCTGCGGCCCCGGGCGGGATCGGGCGGGGCCCTGCCGCACCCTAAGGCACGTGGGGGCCGAGCCACGCCCAGGAGGGGTCGGTCCCGGCCCTCTCCCGGCTTCCATCCGGGGCTGGGGCTGTCCGAGGATTCTCGTGTGTCCTGGGAGCGTTGCTGGGCTGAGACAGTCACTGCTGGGTGCCCAGCCTGGGAGCCACCACACCGTCCTCACTGCTGCCCTATCCCATGTCCCTCTACACCGAGTCGCCGAGACCCCACGGAAGATGCTGAAGCAGGGAGAGCAGGCAGGGCGGGGGCCCCACCCCGCTGGGCGAGCGGGTCGCTCCGGTGGSGGAGCGGTGACGGATAGAGCCACGGCGCCGGCGGCCCCGTCCCCTCTCCGGCACAGCCCCGAGCTCCGTCTCAGTCCCGCCGGCCCCTCCTCCGCGGGCTCAGTCCAACTTTTCCAGCACCGAGGGCACGTAGACCAGGCTGAGCTCGCTCCCGAAGTTGCAGACGATGGCGGCGTTCTCCAGCACCAGGATCTGCCGCGCCGGCTGGGACTCGTTGCTCTTGCCCAGGTAAACGGTCTGGAGCAGGTCCCCATAGCCAATGTCCCAGAAGGACACGCAGCCCTGGCCACCCGTCACCAGCAGGTTGTCAGAGATGACGCCCAGGCTGGCACCGCAGCCCAGCTCCTGCAGGACAGAAGGCAGAGAGCTGAGCTCCACGGGGTTGGAATGAGACAGAGCTGACCCCCGAGGGGCTGGAATGGGGCCAAGCCGTGGATCCGGCCTGTTTGGAGCCTTTGCATGTAACAGGGAAGCTTCTCCAAGCATGTGGAGCTGGAATAGAGGCTCCTCAGCCTCCCAGCACAGCAGAGGTGTCTGCGGTGTCCGCTAGGGGCCAGGAGAACCCAGGAGGASCCCTGAAGGTGTGAGGTGGAGCTGGGGGGGTCTCAGCCCAGAGGAGTCTCCGGGGGGACCTTGTGGATCTGCACAACTCCCTGACAGGAGGGGGCAGCCGAGGAGTTCGGGCTCTGCTCCCAGGGAACAGGGACAGGAGGAGAGGGAATAGCCTCAGGCTGGGCCAAGGGAGGCTCAGGGTAGAGATCAGGAGGATTTTCTTCATGGAGACGGTGATTAGAATTTGAAGGGGCTGCCCAGGGTAGAGGAGTCATCCCCATCACTGGAGGGATTTAGAGGCCATGTGMWTGTGGCACTTGGGGCCACAGTGGTGGCCTTGGCAGTGCAGGGGGGCTTGGAATCTCTCCGAAGGCTTTTCCCAGACAAGCAATTCCCGGTTCCCTGTTAACCCCCTCAGCTGCCCCCTGGGCCCCACCTGCTGGATGGAGTAGAGTTTGATCCCCGAGCCGCGGTCCCAGATGCTGATGACATCGTCCAGGCCGCTGCTGATGACGCAGGACGTGGTGCAGGTCAGGGAGGTGACGTCCCCRCGGTGGGCGAACATGTGGCTCACACGGCTGCCCGTCAGCACGTCCCACAGGCAGATGGCCCCGTCCTGGCCACCACTCGCCAACACCATGGTCTGTGGGACACCAGGGACACGAGGGCCATGTCAGCACCACGGGGGACATGGTGCCAGTGACACTGCCAATGCTCCCAGCACTCCCGCTTGTGGGAGGTCACAGGAGTGTGGGCTGGAACCCCGGACTGCCAGCCAAGGGGCTCCCTGTTTGTTCCGTGTGCTCGAGCAGGCGGGGAGGACAGACCCCCAGCTGTCCCACGTGCAGAGGCACCCAAGCTCACTTACACGGGGTTGGAAAGCACATGGGGGGCTCCCTCTCTGCCTCAGGCCCCATTTCAGCCCTGCCTGGCAGTGCAGGRACAGGGATTCCCTGCTCCAAAAGGACAGGGAAGCAACAGATCTCCAGGGAAAGGGATTGCTCAGCTCACAGCAAACTGGGGGAAAACTCTGGCTTGGCCTGTGAGGGACCCAGGTCAGTACCTCTGGCTGAACCACTGACTCAGGGATGGGTTCAGGGATTAACTCAGGGGTGGGATCAGGGATGAAGCCGGCTATGAGCTGAGGTATGATCTCAGGGACGGGTTTAGGTATCAGCTCAGATGTGAGGCGAGGTGTGAAGGCAGGTGAGGCCCTAGGCCCGTACCTGGTCGATGTACACGGCTGTGATGGCTCCCGAGTGGCCCTGCAGGGTGAACAGGCAGCACGAGTCCTCCAGCCGGAACACCTGGSGCAGGAGAGGCCGGAGTGAGGCTCTGGGGCCAGCCGGGCTCAGGGGGCACCACCTGAACTCCCCACGACACATCAGATGCCACCTGATCCCATCGTGGCACAGCCAGAACCCGCCCACGCTTCCGGAGGCCACGGGATGCTGCAGCCTGGGACAGGGTAGGCCACGGCTGGTGGGAGGTGACAGCGTGGTGACAGGGCAGTGACTGCATGGCTGAAGGGGACAAGGGACACCCCAGAACCTGGATCTACCACTCAGGGTGTGTCACAGCAACTTCACAGAATGCTCCATACTGGGGACAGGGGCTGGAAAGTTGGGAGAGACCCTGGGGGTGCTGGTGACAGCAGATGGACAYGAGCCCAGGTGTGCCCASGTGGACAAGAGGCTGATGGCCCCCGGATTGTATCAAAACCAGTGTGGCCACAAAACCAGGACAGGGATTGCCCCCTGTCTTGGCAGTGCCGAGTGACCTTGAATCCTGGGGACGGCTTGGCCCCTCATGAGAGGAGAGACCTGGAGGGGCTGGAGCGTGTCCAGGGCAGGGAACTGAGCTGGGGAAGGGGCTGGAGCACCAGGAGCAGCTGAGGGAGCTGGGGCGGGTGTCAGGTTCTGCTCCCAGGGAACAAGGGAGAGGACAAGAGGGAGGTTTAGGTTGGATACTGGGAAAATTCCTTCAYGGAAAGGGTGGTCAGGCATTGGAAGGAGCTCYCCAGGGCAGCGGTGGAGGCCCCATTCCTGGAGGGATTTAAAAGCCACATGGATGTGCCACTTGGGAACATAGGGCAGGGGTCCCCTGGGCACTGCTGAGGACTCGCTGGACTCAGTGATCTTGAAGGGCTTTTTCAGCCTCAAGGATTCCGTAATTCTCTGAGGTCATCCATCCCTGAAGCACGAGGGTCCCATCAGGGCGACACCACTCACTGGGCTCTGTCCTTCCAACTCCTCTGATGCCACATTCAGGCAGGTGAACAGAACCCTCGGAGCTTCCGAATGCCCCCCCTCCCTGTGTGCTCCCCCAGCCCAGCCGTCCCTGTCCCCTCACCCTGAGGGTGTGGTCCTGGCTGCCGGTGACGAGGCGCCCAGCCGCGGCCTTGAGCGCCGTGATGGGTTTGTGGTGAGCGCAGGCCACGCTGTGGGTGAGCTGGCAGCGCACCGCGGCCCCGCGGCCCAGCTCCGGTGATGGTGGGAGGCTGCTCCTGCCCGGGGCACCTGCAGGGACACACACACCTGAGACAGGTAAGGTCACCTCAGGGACGTCTGCATGCTGGGCTTTAGGGAATTTGGGGCTGGTGCTGCAGCAAACCCTCTGTGCTCAAGAACAGGAGTGAGGGTCTCAACAGGATAAAAGAATTCCAGACTGATTTGGGACAGAAGAGACCTTAAAACCTGTCCAGCCCCACTCACTGCCAGCCATGGGCAGGGACACCTTCCACTCTCCCAGGTTGCTCCAAGCCCCGTCCAACTTCCAGGGATCCAGGGACAGCCACAGCTTCTCTGGGAAATTTATTCCACTCCCTCACCACTGTCCCACAGAATTTCTCTCCAGTATCCCATCTCAGTCATCCCCTCTATCCTGCTCCAGAAGCAAAGGAACCCTGTGCTCTAACCAGTCCCCACAATGGGCCAGTCTGGGCTATGCTGTGGTTGCACCGAGGCCTGGGGCTGCTCCTGAGGTGGGAATGAGGGAGACAGAGAAAGGAGAGAGAAGTGGAAGGAGGGAAGAGTAGTACTGCCCTGGAAGCACATGGGAGCCTCCAGCCCTGTGCCCTGGGTAAGACCAACACRGAGATGGTGTTCCAGCACAGGGAGCTCCCATAGCACCCCTCAGCTCAGCACAGCTCCCGATGCTTTGMAGCAGAGAGCTACCACCAAAACTGAAGTGGATGTGAGGGAGACTCAGCTACACGGAGGAAGAGGGAGGAGGGAAAGGCAGGAGCTCAGGGCAGTGCGCCAACATCCCAACACCCGCTCACCTCGAAACTGCAGGTGGTTCAAGGATGTGTGTGTCTCCAGAGAGAAGAAATCCAAGGAGCCGTTCAACCGGGCAGCCACGATCCTGAGGGAGAGACGTGTGGGGTGAGCAGAGGCCCCTCCCTGAGCCCCAAAACTGGACACCCCATGGGCTGAGCACAGACCACCCGCTCCCAGGAGGAGGCTGCATGGAGCTGGGCTGGGAGATCAGACACAGCTCCAACTGGACTGGACAATGGTGGTGTCTCTGCAACAGCAGCCATGGAAACCAGCGATCCAAAGGTCTCCCAGCCCTGAAACTCTATGGATATCGAGCTACTGGGAACACTGAGGCCTGAAGGAGTGGGTGCTGGAGCCAGGAAAGCTGGTGAGAGGTGCGTACATGGAAGGATTAGGCTGGATATTAGATTGGATATCAGAAAAAGGCTCTTCCCCYAGAGGGTGGTCRGGCACTGCCCAGGCTCCCCAGGAAATGGGCGCAGCCCCGAGGCTGTCTGAGCTCAGGGAGCGTTTGGACCGCGGTCTCAGGCACGGGGTGAGATTGTCTTGTGTGGCTTAGGCAGAGCCAGGGGCTGGACTCTGTGATCCTTGGGGGTCCCTTCCAGCTCAGGATACTCCATGACACTGTTTCTAAGGAAGAGACTTCCCAGCTGAGGCTCTGCTGAGGAGCGGCCATGGAGGTTGGGGTTGGGCATCACCCAGCACTTGCACAGGAGTTACCTGTTGTTGAGGAAGACGAGAGCCGTGATGCCAGATTGTCCTTCATCATTGCTGCTGCGGAGGGTTCCCTCGATGGCATCCCACACCTGGGGGAGAAGGGATCACTGTGGTGACACAAGCCACAGGAGCACTGGACATGGAGGGGTTTGGGATCCTGAACAGCTGAGTGGGCAAGTCACAGCTCCCTGTGTTGTGCCCCCAGGCTGTGTGACCTCCTGCGCTGTTACTGTGTCCCTGTTCCTCACCTCCTGCTTCCCCTGTGTCCCTGTTTCTCACCTTCACCTTCCCGTTTCCATGTCCCTGTTCCTCACCTCCAACTTTCCGTTACTCCTGCCAGCCACAATCAGGTTCCCCTGCAGTTCCAGGCTCCAGACGGAGCTCTCCAGGTCCCCTCCCCACGATGGCAGGGAAGAGGATTTGTCACATCCTGCACAGGCCTCGTCCCCCAAGCTCCGGTCCCCCAGGCTGCGCCGGCGGCCGCTGCATCCGCCCTCGTCGGAACCGCAGCCCGGGGAGCGGCCGCTGCTCCCGCAGAACCCAGAGGGGCCGTGTGGGGCTGACAGCCCCTGGAAGTTCATGTTCCTGCAGCTGGAGCTGCCGTGCTCCTCGTACACCTTCCCAACCAGGCTGCTGAAGTCGTATCCCGAGTCCTTGTGGCGAGTGCCCACGGCCCGGAGCCGCGGCTCCGACTCGGCCACCTTGGCATGCTCCGAGAAGTTGGTGTCGATGAGGGAGGTGAGGTCGGGCTGGTCACAGAACAGGGGGGGCTGTGGGGGGCCCAGCAGCCGTTTGAGCTGGTGACTGCTCTCAAAGGAGTCCTCCAGCCCGTTCTTCCCATCCGGGCTGGGATCCCAGCCCTCCTGGTAATCGAAGATGCCGCTGCTGTCCCTGCGAAGCCTGCAAGGAGAGATGAAGCTCAGCCCTGCTCTGCTGGAGAGCTGCTCCCTGGGAGCACAGGGATGTGGGGCCACAGGGCCACAGGCAGGGCCGTACCTGGGTTTGGGGATGACGGTGAGGCAGTCACCCGTCTGCGCGTCCCACACGCGGATCTGCCCCACCAGGCAGCAGCTCACCAGTAGCATCCCGTCACTGGCCAGGCACTCGATGTCCTGGGAGAAAGGAAGGACAAGCACAGCTCAGTGTGGCACCACAGAAGCCTCTGGATCCCGACCACAGCCTGGTGTGGCTGAGGAACTGCGGAGATGATGGATTTTATGTCACAACCGGCTGGTTTAGGAACTGAGGGACGCTGAGGACATGGACAGCCTTGACAGTCCAAGGCTAGGCTGGATRGGGCTTGGAGTACCCTTGGGATACTGGAATGTGTCCCYGCCCATAGCAAGGGTGGCACTGGATGAGCTTCAAGGTCCTTTTCAACCCAAACCACTCTGTGATTCTGGGATTCCAGGATCTTTGCCCAGAGACCCCAACATGCACTGGACTGCTGTAAATCCAACAGACTCCATCTGCTGTGCCTTCCCCTAACAAATTCTTCCCAGTCTAATGGTAGGATCAGGAACAGAGGTCCATCTTCTCTGGGAGACACAACACAGCATTTTAAACTCATGATGCCCAAGAGCTTTGTTTCAKCTCCAAACGCGAAGAATTTGAGAATTATCTAGGTTGGAAAAGTCCTCCCAGACCATCGAATCCAACCTGTGACTGACCCCCACCATCACCCAGCCCAGAGCACCGAGTGCCACATCCAACTGTTCTTTGGACCTCAGGAATGTGGAGGTATCCCAGGGAATGGAAGCCAGAGGTGGTGATGGTGGGAATTGCAGAAAGCAAGTCCCAGGAGGAGATGGGAACATGCTGCAGGAATTTCACGCTACAATATCTTTTTCTTGACCTGTTTATTTCTAAGTTGGACTTACCATGAGGTGTCCCCTGAGGACCAGGGGCACGATCTCGGTCTCGGGGGGGGAGTAGCCGTAATCATCACAGGGCAGGTCCCCCCTGCGGCGCCGGCCCGGCCCGTTCTGCCCGTAGTTCTTGGGGCACAGCACCCGGTACAGGCAGAACAGCAGCAGCACCAGCAGGATACCYGAGGCCAGGCCCAGAGCAGCCACCCTGCAGGAGACACACACAAAGGAGGTAAGAAAATAAATTCCAGTTTCTAGTCTGAAGATAGATTTGGAAAATCCTGTGCCAGGATTACTCATGTGCTGGTGTGAATTTCTCAGCTGAGAAAGGCTTTCAACAAATTACAGAGATCTGTTGGAAATTAAAGGGGGTTTTAATGGAAAAATGACATTTTCAACAAGATTTTGAGGCTTTTCAGTAAGGGAACTAATGAGCAGCTAAGATTTTAAGAAACAGGGATGGGATAACACAGATGGGGACTAGGAAAACACTGTGTGTGCAGCACTTGCAGATTCAGGCAGGGAGTTGTGAACTRTGCTCTCCAGTGGGAGAAAAACTCCTTGCACCTGAGTTTGATCTAACACCCAATAAATCATCAAATGATATCTAGGTGATGGCTGCCCCAGCCCTGAAGTGTCCAAGGCCAGGTTGGACAGGGCTCTTGGAGCAACCTGGGATGTGGAAAGTGTCCCTGCCMATGGCAGGGGTTGGAACTGGATGAATTTTAARGTCCCTCCCAACCCACACCATTCTGGGGTTCTACGAAATCACAGCATTTACACCTCAAATCAACCTCCTGTCCTTGTTAACCCAGTGACCAGCCCCCTACTGCATCAGAAGCACTAAGAGCCTCCATGCATAGCCCATTCCTGCCCTCTGATGGCAAACTGCCAGGAGAGATCAATTTAATTTGCACTGGAGCATCCYGAGCTTTGGCACTAAAGCTTCATGAGTATTTCTGGTCTCCCAGCAGGACTAGCCCAATGCAGCCCTGGAGCCCCACCRGGGTTGAGGCCGGGTCAGGAGGTTGTCACAGGACATCTTACTTGTAAAGGGTGACATCCTGGTGGCCGTGGGGCTGTGCTGTGTGGTCCGGCTGGGCTCCTGTGTCCAGCTTCCCAGCACTGCCCGCCAGGAAAGGGTGGTAGCGCGAGGCCTCCTGGGGATGCCGCATCTCCAAGGCCTCCTGCGGGTTCAGGTACAGCGTGACGGGGATGGCTGGCAGGATGCTGATGTACCTGAGGGTGGGCAGGGGAACAGCTTAGGAATGACACAGGGACACAYGGACAGGTGACTGACTGGCCACGGAAGGTTTCTGGGTGCTCTCAGTGGGTCACTTCAGGTGTTCTGAAGTAAAGATCTCCTTGGAAATACTTTCTTCTAAAGGTATTTCCCAAGCTTTAACCCTTTAAAGAGCCATCAGTGGAATGAAGTGCTGATGAGATCAAATGGAWCCCATGAATTTAAGCAAGGATCTAGTTTCCTGTGTGCTGCAGGCTGGGAGGTCTCACCAAAGAAGCTTCTTCAGCTCAGATGTCTCTTCTTCACATATACTGTAGCCATCACTTACASATGATTGTATCAGAGAATCATGGATTTACTTAGGTTGGAAAAGCCCTCTGAGACCATAAAGTCCAACTTCTTCCCAGCACTGCCAAGGCCATCACTAACCCATGTCCCCAGGTGCCACATCCACATGGCTTTTAAATCCCTCTAGGGATGGGGACTCCAGCACTGCCCTGGGCAGCTGTGCCAGGGCTGGAGAGCCCTTTCCATGAGGAATATTCCAAATATCCAACCTGACCCTCCACTGGCACTGCTTGAGGCTGTTCCTTCTCCTCCTGTCCCTGTTCCCTGGGAGCAGAGCCTGACACACCCCTGGCTGCCCCCTCCCATCAGGGAGTTGTGGAGAGCCAGAAGGTCCCCCTGGAGCCTGCTTTCCTTGTTTAGCAAATTTTAAAGCTTCACTTCCAGGGTCAAGGAAGACACAAGACAAGCATGTAAAACATTCAAGAGCATAGAGAGGAACAACCCTGATTCCCAGAGGAACAGCCCTGGAGGGTTTGGGAGCTCTGCCCACCCAAGTGGACCTGCTCAGCAGCTCTTCCCAAACACACCTGGACTGAGTCCCAYGGAACCAGGTTCTGTGAGTCAGGAGGACAAACTCTTGCGTCAGCTGCCCCAATCCCAGTGCCTGTGGCACTYCATGCCAGCCCACTTGCCTCTTGGCCAGGGTGATGTTGTAGTAGCTGAAGAGGGCTGGCCAGTGCCTGAAGGAAAGCTTCCTCCAGATCTCCTCATCCTCTGCTCCCCAGGTAACCTCTGCTTCTGCTCCCAGCTCCACCTGCCCATTCCCTTTGCCCTCTGGTCCCTGGGCCCAGGTGTGCTGGTTCGGCTCCAGCCCTGACTTCTGCTCCCGCTGCTGGGTCTGGTTCTCCGACAGTTGGAGCGGCTCCGACGGGAAGACTGAGAGGTCGATCTTGGGGTCCCCGGCAGGCAGGACCCCTCCAGGAACGGGCATGGGAGGCAGACCTGCTTCCCCCAGGGGACTCTGCTCGGTGACCTGGGACGTGAGGTAGGTGCGGAGCCCAGCAGGATCCGTGTAAACCAGGATTCCAATCCAGATCACTGTCCCGGCCTGTGCAGGATGAGCAGAGACATAGGTCCCTTCAGTGCCACCACCCTGTCCCCTGCCTGCGCTGACCTACGGCACCCCAACCACAGGTACCCCACTTTTCCTGCAGCCTCAGTCCCAGCACTGCTCCTTGGGGAGGACTGGGAGCAAATGCAGAACCTGGACACCACGTTTCCATGATCCCTGTGATGGTCAGAAGCCCACTTCTCTCCCCAAATGCACARAAGAAGGAGACTCTGCTGGCAGCTGGGACCAGCATGCCTGGCACTTCAAACAGGGTGGGAATGGCTCAATTTGGRCTTTTGGATCCACAGTTGTGCAGCCACTGCTGTAGGACTGTGTGGGGATTTAACTTCAACTCCCAGAACTGCTGACTGGGCTGGGAACATGGAGATCCCTCTAATTCCATTAGACACATCCAAAACAGAGACAGGGGGCACAAGCAGGAGCAGGAAGAGGAGTGGCTGCAGCAGTTGTTACAGCTGAAACCTTAAGCAAAATATCTCCAAAATGTGTCTAGTCCACATGTGCTGGAACAAACSGTGATTTCTGCTTGTAAAATCACCTCAAGACTCAGCTAGCCCTGGAGATCTGCTCCTCGATATCACGGGGAAGCACCAGACCGGCAGGGGATGCAGGACACAGGAGAGGCGGGTGCCCAGCAGGCAGGCAGGTGCCAGTCCCCCCACACGTACCATGATGAGGCGCTGGGCCAGGCGCGTGCGGGCGAAGAAGTAGATGACGCGCAGGCGCTTGGGCAGGCGCAGGTTGCGCAGCGAGGACGGCTGCAGGGTGATGGTGTGCGGCGTGTGCGGTGCCGCCGGGCGCAGCGCGGCAGGGCGGGCGCGGCATGGGGCCTTGGCTGGCGCCAGGCACGACTCGGGGGGCAGCCGCTTGTTCAGGTCAGCCAGCTGGAACAGACAGGGAATGGTGAGGGAGGAGGGGCTGGGGGACGAGGGGGTGACAGGTGAGGGATCCATGGAGAGATGTGAGGGATCTCTGATGACATGTGAGGGATTCTTCCCTCAGAGTCATGGTGCTGACCACATCTCCTTCCAGCCCATTTACCCCAAATCAGCACACTCAGACTCACAGAATCATGGAATGGTTGGTGTGGAAAAGACCTTAAAGCCCATCCAGTGCMACCCTCTGCCATAGGCAGGGACACCTCCCACTGTGCCACGGTGCTCCAAGCTCCATCCAAGCTGGCCTTGGACACTGCCAGGGATCCARGAGCAGCCACAGCTTCTCTGGGCACCCTGTGCCAAGGCCTCCCCACCCTCACAGTGAAGTTCTTCCCAATATCCAATGTAAACCTTCTGTCAGTTTGAAGCCATTCCCCCTCCCTTATCCTGTCACTCCAGGCCCTGGTACAAAATCTTGCTCCTTATTTCTTGTGGGCTCCCTTCAGGTCCTGGAATGCCCCAATTAGGTCTCTGAACTTTTCTCCTCCAGAATGAACAATACCAGTTCTCTGTGCCTTCCCTCACAGCAAAGCCACTCCACCCCTCTAATCATCTTGATGTCTCCTCTGGATTTTCTCCCACAGCTTCATGTCCTTCCTGAGTGTGTCTTCTCCCTCAGGTGTCCTGTTCCCAATCCCTGTGTGTGTAACCAAGCAAGGAGGGCCCTGCAACTTTTAACAGCTCAGGACAAGAAACACCACAAGCTGACCAGGGAGGGATTAGGTTGTCTGTTGGGAAAAATTTCTTCCTGGAATGGGCTGTCCAGCCCTGGCAGAGCTGCCCAGCACAGGGGTGGAGTCCCCATTCCTGGGGGGATTTAACAGCCATGTAGATGTGGCACTTGGRAACATGGGGCAGTGGTGAACATGATGGTGATGCTGAGGAATGGCTGGACTCCATGATCTCAAGGCCTTTTCCAACCTCAATGAATTAATGATTCTGTTCTTTTCTCTTTAGGGAGTGAAATGCTCAGGCTGTGTTCCCTTTCCTCCCCCTGAGGCCCGTGCTCCCATGCCCACCTCCATGCGGCGGATGTCGATGGACAGCACCGTGGTGAAGAAGAACATCTGCAGGAAGAAGTCAGACACCAGCCCGACCACGGCAAAGAGGCAGAACTCCTGTGGATGGGACACAAGGATTAGCTCCCATTTCACCTCAGAACAAGGGACACTCAGCAGTGTTTTACTGACAAACCCCATTACCCATCTCTTGTAGTGGCTGAGAGTTTAGGGCTGGTTGAGTCCGTGTGAGAATCTGAGAGTATTTATTCTAATTCACATTCTTTTTTGGTTTTTTTGGCCACAATCCGTCAAGGACCTGGGACTCTGCTACCAGGGAACAAGAGACAGGATGAGAGGAAAAGGCCTCAGGTTGTGCCAGAGAAGATTTAGATTAGAAATTAGGGAAAAATTCTTCCCTAAAAGGGATTATTAGGCACTGGAACTGCCCAGGGCAGTGATGGAATCCCTGTGCCTGGAGGGATTTAAGGGCTGTGTGGATGTGGCACTAGGGAACATGAGTTAGTGRTGGCCTTGGCAGTGCTGGGGAACAGYTGAACTTGGACTCCAAGGCTTCTCCAACCCAGACAATTCCCTGACTCTGTGATCCCACTGCCTCCCTGGAGTGCCTTTGGGCTCTGTCCTGCCAGCCCAGAGCAGCCCCACGCACCTGGATGGCCGGGACCAGGGTGAAGTATCCAATGAGGATGATCCCGAGCTCCGTTGCCATGTTTTTCATGATGGACCAGCTCTCATTGCTCAGGCCTGGGGAAGGGCAAGGACAAGGTCAGGGGAGCCTCTACACTGTGCCAGACATGRGCACAGCAAAAGGAGCTGCATTTCCCTGCTTTAAAGCCGGCAATCTACAACAGGCCAAAAAGGCCCTTCCAGGCTAAAACTCCCAAGTGCAAAAGCCCATTGAAATTCTGAGTCCTGTTTCCCATCTAGGACCCAAACCACTCRTATTTTTAAAACTAAAATCAGCATCACTCTGTCTAGAATCTCTTCTCCTTGATGTTTAGAAACAGCTTTGAAGTTTGCAAGTTCCATTTATCCATGGTGTGAGCACTCAAATCCTTCCACAGGCACAGTGCATTTACAGAATGGAAAAGATAATTTTGTCTCACATTCAGGGAAATTTTGTAGGACCTGTGTTCAGCAATTCTGATATCTGTGACCTGACACAGTGTTYAGTATCCACACCAGGAGATCCAGCTCTCCCCTACTAATATCCCAAAAAGCAGTGCCCACAATGACAGCATTATATTCTTGGAATTCAAAACAGAAGGCTTTTGAGTACAACTCACCTTGTTTCCGTCACAGACCTGAATTAGACGATCCCCCCTCTCCCAGTCCCCGGCTTTCCCCATTTTCCTTCTCTGCAGTCTCCCAGAGCAGGATCCTACCTTGGGCAATGCGAAGCTTCACTTCCAGGTCGACGGGCGTGGACACAACAGACTTGGTGAGGACCAGCACATTCTCCAGGCCAATCACCACCACCAGGTATGGGAATATCTCTCTGGAGGAAACAGAGGCAAAACTGAGGAGGAGATCCGTGATGAAGAAGGGAAAGAGGCAAGTTTGGCGCAAACACATCCCTCAGAGTTGAGGTGAGGAGACACCATCCTGTGCCTCAATCCCTTCCCACAGTGTCACACTGTGACAGGGAAAACTTCTGTGTTTCCTCTGTCTTGGGCAGAAATCACCACCTTTGCAAAGCTGCAGGAATTCCTGGAAAATGCCCATTATGGACCACCACTAAATTAGTCTTGGTCCTTCCCAGGGTGGGCATAGAGCCTTTTGCTCTCCGGCATTGGGTACAATGAGGTGTAAATAGAGATGGAATACCCTGTGAGGGCCTGGGGGGTGGGTAATCAGTCATCAGGGATGGGGCAGGGAGCTGTCCACCTCCTTTGAGGAGCATCCCATTCCACCCCCTGCCATGGGCAGGGACACCTTCACAGACAACTATCCCTGGCTGCTCCAAGCCTCATCCAACCTGGCCTTGGACACTTCCAGGGATGGGGCAGCCACAACTTCTCTGGGAAATCCATTCCAGTCCCTCACCACCCTCACAGGAAAGGATTTCTTCTGTCTATCTCACCTAAATTTCCCCTGTTTCAGTTTGAACCATTGCTCCTTGTCCTATCCCTGTAGTTCCTGATGAAGAATCCCTCTCCAGCTTTCCTGCAGGCTCCCTCAGACACTGAAAGGGGGGAATGTCAGTGAATGTCCATAGTGAGTGAAAAAAAAACCTCTGATACAGATAAGCCGCTCATGGGCAGTTTCTCTTTCATGTGCAAGAATCCAAAATTCAGCAAGAACAACTCAGGTCTGCCTTTTTAATTAATACACTTTCTGCTCATAACCTGTGTGAGTCCTCCRAGCAGTACCAGGACAGGACAGAGCTGGGAGAAAAGCTTCTTAGGGATGGGAATCTCCGAACAGAGAATGCAGGAAGTGGGTRTGGGAGAGCCCGCTCAGCTCCCAACAATTCCCACTGCTTTAGGTACACAGAGCCACCTGCTCAGCAATAAGGAATCTTCAGGAGGACTGGCCAGCAGAGGAGCACATCCCCTGCATCCCTGAGAGCACCTGATGGTGATCCTGCCCAGCAGTGTGTAACATGTATTACAGAAGCTTATTCCCCAGCACGGGGGCACTGAAGAGCTGCTCCCAAGGCACTCTGGTACATCCCCTGGCAGGGCTGGCACATACCCGCCGTTGAGCGTGGGCGTGAGGCCGAACAGGGTGCAGAGCCCCACGGACATGAGCAGGGAGCTGAGCACCGTCACCACCGCCGCCAGCGCCAGGCCCCACTTGGACTTCACCATGTCGATCTTCCCTGGAAAACAGCACCCAGCCCGTGTCACCAGGGAAAGCAGACATAATTAATGCAAATGGGGAAGGGATGCTGGTCCTGAAGGTCACTGCACACCCCCCAGCCCAGAAAGGAATGTACTGCAGTGCTCGTGTCTGAAATGCAGCTCCCAGAGCCTCCCAGTACAAGGGCGAGACACGRGACAATGCTGGTTTATAGCTCATACCAGTCCCAGCATAGCACTGAGCTGTGAGGAGACAGGAACGAAATGGGGCCAGGGCGGCCAAAACCCACCAGCTCAGAACATGTGTCTGATCTGTCTGATAATGGATAAAGCRAACTGTAAAAAAGGTATTCCTGTGGCATCTAAGGCTGTCTAAAGACAGAAAACACCTTGGAAAATATCACAGAAYCATGGAATAGTTTGGGTTGGAAAAAAYCTTAAGATCATCCTGTTCCACCCCCTGCCATGGGACACCTTCCACTATCCCAGGCCTTGGACACTYCCAGGATGGCAAAACACCTCCAGYTGGGGAAGTGTATCACAAGGAATAACACCACACTGGATACAAGGGGCAAATCAGCAGGAGTCAGATAAACAGTTACTAATTGGAATGGCTCTCCGTGACAGCTCAGGGTAAAATTCCAGTATCACCTCTCCTGTTGAAACAGGTGGGAAATGCAGTGGTGTTACAGAGGAATCTCTTACCAGGGCACTGCAGCCCTGGCCCCATAGCCAGGAGCCAGGAGTGCAGGTGCCCCCAAACCTACGTGTGGAGAAGTAGATGTAGGCGAAGAGGATGATGTAGGTGGTGACGAGCGGGATGAGCTCAGCAATGCCGATCTCCTCCTTGAAGTGCACATGGACCACGTTGTCCTCCCGCAGGCTGCAGTTGGGGCTGGGGTGCAGCAGCTTCAGGCGGGAGCGGAGGCTGCTCAGGAACCTGGGGAAGGGCAGCACATCACTCACCTTTTCCCAAAAATGTGCTCACAATTCCTACGGGAGCGCAGGAGGAGGAAGCTCCATGGATTCAAATGGAGTAGCAAAGTGTGGCTTCACTCCCAAACCTGCTCCTCGCTGGCCTAAACCACACAGACCTTGATTTCTACAAAGGTTCACCAAAACGTTATTTACAGCAAAGGCTCATTAACCACAATCTGAGCTGTGGGGAATAGAACACGCTGTGGTCTCRAACACCCCCAGAATTTCCACCGAATTACAGAATTCTGTGTAAAAAATGGCTGACAGAACGGGCCACACAATGGCCTTTGGGGCTCAGTGCTCTGGCAGATCAAGTTTTGACTCCTGTGCTGCCAATGGAAATGAAGGTTAAAGAAAACCATGCCAACATGGGAGTGAAGCAAGCGGCAGCTGTGCCCAGAGGGCACCTCACCTGGAGTCGTAGCGCTGCAGCCCCAGGGTGACGGTGTAGGATACCACCCGCCGTCGGTTGTACAGGTTCACCCCGCTGTACCTCCCRGGCAGCCCGAACAGCAGGTCTGCAGAGACATGGCATGGACATCAGGGAAACAGCACACACACAGGAGAGGAGGGCCAGAGGTGTTCCTTGTCAATAGCATCAATGGGAATGGCTGCCCGTATCCCATAGGATATCCCAGTGCTCTGGTGAGACCCCATCGATGGGGTCAGTACCTGATGCAGGCTCCATGTGCTCCAACCACAGYGAGCTCACACTCTGCATGCTCAAAAATAACCTTTAAAGCAAACTTCCTTTAGGGTTACAAACCCCTTTTCAGACATGTAATATAATACATTATACACTTCCAGAGCTCTGAAGTTCCTTTAAAACCAAAGGATTCAACCTGCATTTAAACCAGCATTTCCTCTGGTATTATGGAATCACTAATGATCCCACAAATGGTCAGAGGGTTTTTTTTTACAATTAAGAGATAAAAATACTTTTATAATATCCATTGTCAACTCGGKCTGTGTGCAAGGAACTAGAACACACAAAGGAGCAGGATGAACATCGATTTATCTGTGACAATGAGGCAGCCTTTGAGTGTGGCAGAGGGAAAGGCAGGCTGGAGCATGTGTAGAGTGAGAGGAACAAAACCCTTCTATTTTTACCTGCAGAAAGGAGCCTGGCTGAGTGAATTGTTCACTTCCGACAAATACAGATCACAGCTCCAATACACATATAAAATTAGAGACAACAAAGACTGCTCTTTGGCTTCGGCTGCTGTGAGTGACAAGACACTGCCCGAATTGGCACTATCAGCAATGCAGGTGTCAGAATTAGTGAGGATGGAATAACAATGAAGCTGTAKGCAACTCGCAGATTCCCTGGCTCTCCAGCCCCTCACCTTTGAGAGTGGCTGACGTCTGCAAGGTCTTTGGTTCATGCTGGTGGATGGTTTTGATGATATCTGGGTCGGCATTGAAGCGCTCGCGGTCGTTCTGCCAGAAGTTCCCTGGGGACAGCAGCAGGCAGCCGTGCTCCGGGAGCAGATTCCGCAGCTTCCTGAGGCTGGGCAGCAGGTCTGTCACCTGGAGACAAACCTCCTCCAGGCTCCTGACCCCGGAGCTGAAAGGCAAACACACGGCTGTGGGACCAAATGGAGGCAAAGGCAAAGCTTTTGGAGAGATGCATCACAGGGATCTGCATCAGGTGTTGCTGCTCTTGCCCACAGCTGCAGAACACAAACTGGGTCTCCCTGGAACTGTGAACAGGCTCCACAACTCCATCATCATTCCCTGGGTGCTGCCTGATCACACAGCTCTTGCTCCTCACCCATCTCTGGTGCCACACTTTCATTTCCACATTTAAGACACTTCCACTCAACAGAGAAACTGTCTCTCTGGAATTCTTCCATATGTCAAATCCCTCTCCACACAAGCAATGGGATGTTTTACAGGAATCCTGATCAGTCTTCCTGAGGCAGATCCTTTGAGGTGCACAGTGTGCTCTAAAATGCACTCAGTGKGGTGTTTTCTCAATTCCTTTGCGTTGTGTGGAAAGGAGAATTTTCTTAGAGGTTTAGAAATCCATACAGGTGTAACTGGTATGAACTGGGACCTGYGTTTGACATAATTCTTATCAACCACTAATTCAAGCAGGACTMTGCTTGGGTTTCCAAAAGGCCCAAGTGGGAGGGGTCAGTGACAGACACAGCTGTTGGGACAGATAAGTGTGACAGAACTCACCTCCTGCCAGGAGCTGATCTGTTTGACACCTGCACAGGTAACTCAAACAGGACTTGTGTCTTGTAGGGAGTTATTCTGGCACCACAGGGTTAACACTGCTCTGGTATCCCCCAGCTGCCCATTAACATTTCACTGCTGAAGTGAGGTCTGGGAGATGAGCTGCATTTCCAACTGACAGACACCACACCAGACTTTCACAAGGCAGAAATCTTCTGTACATGTCCCTGGACAATCTTTAAAATTTTTAATTGACAGTGGAGCTCAGACCTCTTTAATTACTTGCAAGGATGCTAAAAAGCTAAATTTAGGTTTTAAAAATAAGAAAGTGGCTTTAATGGAAAAGGTATTCTCTGTTGCACTGCCAAAGTCAATTTATGGTTACCTGGGGAAAAYTGAATGACTTCACACACATTTGTGATTGTAGATTGTGAAGAAAACATTTTAGGATATGACTTCCTTAAAGAGAAATTTTAGCAATTACCAACCAGGSATGTCTGGTGCTTTGGACCTACAAAAAACTGCAGAGTAATCTTTCTGGGAAGGGTAGGAAAATCAGTCTCTTAAAAATGGCTCCAGTTTTACCTGCTTATGCTGTAACTAACATTAGACAGTACCCTATGCCTCCTGCAGCCAAAGAAGAGACAAAAGAAGGAATTAAAGATTTAGAACAAAGGGGCATTCCACTTAGGATGCATTCTGCTCACAATTCCCCTGTTTGACAGGTGACAAAAGCAGATGGGAGCTGGCTTTAACAATTGATTGTCAAAAGCTTAATGCCAACACAGGATCACTCCCTGCAGCCATCCCAAATATCTCAAACCTCACTGCTACACTGCAGGCAGCTGCACACAAAGGGATGGCAGTTTGGGACAGAAAACACATGTTTTTAATGGTCCCAATTCAGGAAGAAGGTAAACCCAAATCTGCATTCACTTGGGAAGGAACACAATACAYCTTCAGTTGCCTACCTCAAGGATTATGAGCACTCACCCACCACAGCACACAGTGCTTTAGCTGAACTCCAACAAATGAGAACTCAGGAAAGAGTGCAAATTTATCAATACACAGATGATGTGTTGGTAGGAGGGGAGGAGGAAAGTGAAGTAAGAACTGCATAAGATATGTGGAATAAATTAAATGGAGAGGGGATAGAAATGCCCTCAGCTAAAAGCCAAGGCCCCTCWAAAGAGATAAAATTCCTGGGAACATGCGGGTTAGCAAGCCAAGCTGTAATTCCAGATGAAACCATTACAAAATGAGATGTTGCTTCTATCCCTACTACTAAAAGGGGACTTCAAAAGATACTTTGGGATACTGGAGAAATCATGTTCCTGAATTTTCTATAACAGCAAGACTTTTGTACACATTAATGAGGAAAAACAAAACTAGGAATGGATTGACAGCCATAAACAGGCTTTGCAAACAYTGATAGAAGAGTTAAAAACCTATCCATGACTTGGGCCAGCTCATCCCAATGATCCTGTAACAGCTGAATGAGATTTTGCTGAACATGGGACTTACTGTAGTATGTTCCAGAAAGGCCCACAAGGACCCAAGCGACAATTAGAATTCAGTTCCATAGCATTTAAAGATACTAAAAACAGAAATACTGCCTGGGAGAAGGGATTATTATCTCTGGCCYGAGCTCTTGAACAAGTGGAAAAAATTCAACAGCATCAACCTGTGAAAACCCAAGACCTTTCAATCTGTTGGGCAGTATTATGAAAAGCAGTGATACAGAGGCAATTGCACAAAGACTGACAGTGCACAGATGATGTGCACATATCTCAGGGGTCACAGATCAAATGGATGGCACTGAAGTGCCTAAAAACCTACAAAATTACAGAGAGCTGTGGCTCCAGACAGGTTAGCTTGGCAGCAGACATATAAACCTAGTCCTGTATTGCATGCTGCTGCATTCACTTCAGGCTCTGAAGTTAAAGTATCTGGTTCCCTGATGCCTCAGCCAAAAGCACGGATGGGAAACGGAGGTACAGAGTAGTTGCTCTCAACATTGAAACAGGAGTGGAAGCAGTAGAAGAAGGAATGGGAAGTACACAGGGGGCAGAGTTAAAAGCTGTGCTGCTGGCAGTAGAGGAGAAAGCAAAGACAATCTCTGTTGATTCTCAAGCACTCTGGCCTGGTGCCACACAGTGCTTGTGTCAGTGGGAAGTGCTGAATCAGCAAGTGAATGGAAAAGGGAAGAAGGACGATTGGAAGTGGTTGTTGTTACAGGCTCAATCTCAGACACAAATCCACATAGGATGGGTCACAGCTCATGAAAATGACCAAGCTTTACAGACTTACTGGAACAAGGTGGATCAGCTGACAAAAATCARAAGGATAGAAACTGATCTGTTGGAAGCTCCACAGCACTGGCATGGACTGGGTGAGTGGTTACATTGTAAATTAGGGCATACTGGACAAAAAGCTCCACTTTTTGCAGCACAAAGCAGGGGCAGGCATTGACCAGGAAGATGTGCACRGGTATTTTCACAGTGTCCCTACTGCCAGCTGAGACTTCAACAAAATCATCCAGACCTGACAACACCTTTTCAGATCAAGAGTAACAGAAAGCTCTGGTTACCCTGGCAAACATCTGTTGGGCCTCTGAAGACATCCAGTGGTCATGAATACACACTGACAGAGGTTGGAGTGGTCTCTGGACTGTCAGTCATTGCCCWGAGCAGGAATGTTGATGCCAAAGCTACTATTTCAGGATGCAGGAACTGGTTTTCCAGCTTTCCTGTCCCAGACTATACACAAAGTGACAATGGATCACACTTTACAAGTGTGATGCTGCAAGACTGGGCCAAAAAAGAAGAYATTAAATGCATTTTTCATACAGCTTATTATCCCCAAGCAAATGGAATCATGGCATGTGCCAATGGTTTGCTAAAATGGTGCCTTACGTCCCATGAATATGGCTGCAATAAAAGGTTACCCTCCGTATAGATATAATAAATATAATTAATAATTTTTCTAAAAGATAATTATTTTATTTGAATTTTTATTTACTTATTTTATGTTTTTGTGCATAGATATGATTTATATATACAAAATATATACATTATATATATATATAATAACTGATATAGATCAATGGGCAGTCCTGCTTCACGAGCTTTCCTGAGCCTTATGTCTCTTGAAACAGTTTCAGACGATAAAACTGAAACTTTTCAGGACAACTTAATGGTCAAACTGGGATTACTCTGAGGGGCAATCGATGGCAGGTATTCTGGGTAGCTATGGACTCTAATGGCCGCCAAACACAATCAGTTCCCGACGGAGACTCCCACATTCCCAACTCATCCCTGCACAAGTTTGTTTTATGATCCCAACAAATGCAAGGCTCCGGACAGACCTGGCGAACTGCCCCTGCAGCGCCCCCGTGTGGCAGCGGCGCGAACAGCGCTGTGTTCTGGAGCCACGGACCGAAGCGCTGCCGCAGCTCYGTGAAAAACACCTTCAGTAAGGCACGAGTTCTGTTGGGTGAGCTTCTCTGATAACCTGGGATGGTCACCGACAGCCTCAGAAAACTGGGCGTGTATCGAGACGTGAGCAAAGGAGCCGCTGCGGCAGCAGTGGGAAGGGTGGCTGACCACCTGCATGGCTGTGGGAATTACTTGACAGAGACTCTGGGGCTCCTGCAAGGRAATAAAGCCAGTTCTGGACACAGGGGAGCCGTACTGGACAGCACAGGAATTGAGCAATCTGCTGTAGCTAAAGCTGCAACAGGCTCAGAAACCCCAAAGTGACAATCACTGTATGGTCATGTTTACAGAATAATGTCCTTAACTCCACAGCACGGCTGCTCAACTCTGGATCCGTCAGCCACCCCCACAAAACGTTGCAACCCACGATTGTAAAAGAAAGAAGAGAGAGCAATGTTGTTTTTCCAAAGGAGATATAACACACACAGAGAACCAATAGTACCTGACCCTTGGAAGAGAAATTCCCACCTAAAGCTACTGCAACTGCTGGATTTARTCTGTCTCCCACACATTTCACAAAAATATTCAGATGATGGGAATTCCACACCAAACATTTTCCAGTGGCCTTCTTCCAGTTGGAGTGATGCTCCTTCTGGAAGGAAAGACAGCCCAAATCTATCTAGTGTTAAAAATGCTGATCAGCATTGTTGAGGTACTAGAGCATTTGAGTTTTCAATTGTTTTGATTAATATTTGTGTATGTTTTGTCCCAATAGTTTTGCAATGCATATGAGTTATTGCTTTTGAATGCTTGTGTCTTCATTCTGCTTGTCACAGTGGGTGGAAAAGATTTYCCCCTGAATGTAAATTGAATTTTCATACTATTATGGAATCAGTTTTGTGCACCTCTTCCTATCTCCTCAGGGCAAGGTATAAAATTCCCAATTGGAGTAGGTGGGAACAAGTTGAGTTTCATTACACCTTTGATTCYCCTGGGGCTATAGCCACACTATTGCATAGTACATATATATTTGTTCAGGTTATTGTATACACTTGATATCATGAGCAAGGATATGTGAAATGCTGAATTTCCCTGAAGAACACTGGACTAAGAACCATGAATGGAAGTGAAGGGAGTCGCTGACCCATCAYTGAACTCCTCCAATCATTGCAACTGAAAAATTAACTGCAGAAACTTTTCTTTGATCCTGATTTGCATCCCATCATTCCTATCATTTTAAGACTCAAGGGGTGGGCAACATTCTGATCTACACAGACTGGTAACACCACAGTTAAAATGGCTTGTTTGGATTGTCCCCAGCYGCCATGGACACTCTGGATTTAATGCTATACCTTGTCATTGTAACTTTTTTCATCTGTAATTGCTTTATACATATATAGACACACACAYATATATATCCTCTGAGCAGGGACCCTRCTTTGTGGTTATTCCAGGGGCTGACTGAAGGAATCTGAACATTCTCATTTCCATGGGAAGTTACTTTTGACTTATCAGTGCTAATTCTTTTGCCAGCCTTAACACAGGTACCTTGACATCTGCACTGTTTATGTTCTGTTGTACTGTGCAGTAATACTGATTAAGATCTCCTGTCTGTTTAATAAATAATCCATTTTATAAATACACCACATTTGCCATTATTGCCAGCCAGAGCAACTCCTTAAACTGTTGCCAGAATCTGAGGCTAAGGCAGAGCTTGTCCAAAGCTCCCATCTGTCCTGTGACAACGAGGAGGAGCTGCTGCTCCAGCAGAGACATTTCCCTTCACCAGATGCAGGAACGGGTGAGATCTGCTCAGGAAAGGCCAAATGAAGAACAGAGACCAGCCCTGCCTGGCTCTGGCCTCACACATCACAGGAAGGTGCTTCCAGAAGACAAATCAATCGCAGCTTTTGTAAAACCCCTCTCCAGAGGAGACTTTTCTTACAATAACTACAAAGAACAAGCACAGAAATCCATAAATGATGATTTGTCTTTGTGCACAATCCCTCCAGAATGGGTATTCTATGGCTGCATTGAGACGTGGACAAGTCTCAGCTACCAAAAGAAAACACTGGAAAATACATTCCAAAAAACTGATGTTTACAGGGACAAAAGCTTTGGGAAAGAAAATTTAAAGGAACTGCAGCAGATGCCTCTGGAAACGGGTCCAAGAAGAGCCAGATGACCACAGTTTTTATTTTATCAGCTCTGAGATGTGGCAGTGATAACAGTGCATGCTGCAGATAAGCTCATGGACACTCTTATCTGTGAGGCAACGCTCCCAGCTCTTGTCCCTGCGAGATGTTGTGGGTGCAGAGTGACACCAAAACCCACAACTGGGGCAAACCATAGATTCCAGGTCACTCCTGACTTTTAGAGAGGAGTGCWTGGATCTGCAGCCAGTGGAAACACACCCAGGGCATGTTTCCTGCCCAGGTACACTTACCAACCTTCAGCTTCCTGCTGTAATATAAAAGAATATAAAATATATAGAATAGAAAAGAATATAAAATAAAACATAAAACAAGTCAGTTTGCATATCAAAAATATTATTTCTGCACAACTTTATTACTGGAAACAAACAAGAACTTCATAATGACTTTTGAGGTAATTGCAGAATTTATCTCAAATAGGTATTTCCTGAAATATCTGAGTGCATCCCCAAAATGGTAACCTTGCCCCAAGGTTTASGTCTAAATGTTGAAGTGTATTTCTTGTGGTGGTAGGAATAATGATAATAAAAGTAATAATTTTGCTTCTGTGTTGCATCACTGCTCATCAAGGGCAATGCCAAGGGGAGATAATGAGAATACAATGAGAAGACAAGGCAGATAATGAGAACACAACACAGGCCTGGGAGCAAGTTATTTCTGATTGTAATTGGCAACAGATCACTATCCCATAGGATAAGGGAGAGGGACTGAGCACACAGACAGAAGGTCAGTGCCAAGGCYGGGGGAACTGGCAGGGAGGGAAAAAAAAATGAGTAAATCTGCACTGAACAGCAAAAATGGCATTTCTAAAACATGACCCCCAAGACCAACAGCTGGGGGTAAAGGATGGGTCCACATAAGGTCAAATCATCAGGCAAAACAGCAGGGTGGACACTCAAAAATGATAAATTTAATCCCCTTGCTTTTAACAGCACAAAGRTCATGACGCCACTTTGGGAGGTAAAAAGAGCTTCTGCTCTGAGATGGGAGCTCGTCAGCTTGAAAGGACAGAGGGACACRGGGACATTAATAAATCACCCCTTAACGTGCAAAACTGATGTGAGTGGCCACAGAAAAGGGACCTGTGATCTCAGAGGTGTTTCAGAAAAAGCCWTTCCATGGAAAACAGCAACAAGTGAGACTCCTCTGACAATCTGTGCACGGTTCTGCTCTCTCACCTTTGGGAATGTCACACTGACAACAGTGCCAAGAGGAGGACCCAGGAGGGCACAGGGAATGCTCAGCCTCTCCCTGGAGTCAGCAGAGAGTTTTATGTCTGGCTTTTAACAAACAGGGGTCTGGGTTGGGGACTGTCAGCTCCCCTAGAAATACCCGAAAGATGAGCAAAGCTATTGTATAAAGGCTGCAACAGGGTAAAAGCAAGCAGGTATTATAAACTGGTGCTAAAAACAGCCAAAGTGAAAGTCAGGAGAAGAAATTTCTGACCAAGAAATTTCAGCAGGAGCCCAGGAAGTCCCTATGACACAGAGCTTGTGTGGTGATGAACGAATTCTGTGACCCTGCACYGGCTCTAACAGGTCACCATGCAAACTCCTTCTGGACTCTAACCAGAAAACTCCTGCAGATTTTCAGTGCCTTACCTGAAGCACAGGAAAGTTCTCCAGCACAAATGTGAACTGTTCGATGTGAAGAATGAATCCCATGCCATTCATTAGCACCAATCTTTCAYTTTTGTTTAATTTTGAGGACATTACCAGCTCAAAGCTCCTCCCCAGCCCTGGAGGCAGCCATTTGGAGCCAGGTGTGCTCAGCACCTGCTCCTTGTGCCTTACCTGTCTCTCAGGGCGTGGTTCCTGATCTCCTCCACCAGCTGGAAGACGCGGGACAGCGGTGACCGGAACACATCCACAGCCAAGAAGTTCTTCTGCCACGGAGACACGGTGGCTTTCACAAAGATCTGCTGGATGTAGGCCACCGGAGCACCGACGTACTGTGGGAAACCACGGCAGCGTGAGGCATTGGGCGCCRGGAACCCCTCCCAGGATCAGAGCAGGAAGGGCTTTGCCAGGCTCTGTTCCCTTCCCAAACCAGATGTGGAACATGAGAYGGGACTCAGCAGGCAGGAACAAGAGGCCTCATTTTCTGTTTGTGCCATAGGGACCTTAAAGCCCCACCCCCTGCCCGCTATAGACAGGGACATCTTCCACYATCCCAGGRTGCTCCAAGCTCCCTCCAGCCTGGCCTTGGACACTGCCAGGGATGGGGCAGCCACGGCTCTGGGCCACCACATGCTGAGATCACCCAGCAGGGCTGTGTCCCCTCCCCAGTGTCCCCCAGCCCCAGCAGGACTCACCCAGTCAGGGCGCTCACTGGGGTCCCCGTGCTGCGTGTCCAGGCCGGGGGGAGCGTAATCCTTCACCGGGGTGCTGAACTCCACAGGGCCCGTCCCTGGCAGCGGCAGCTTCAGCAGAGGGTAGCTGGGGGCACAGAACAAGGAAACATGTCGATTTTGGAGRATAATGGACTTTTTTAGACAAATGAGTTTAAAAAATTACCAGGCCCACTTCAGCAAAGACGAGCAATGCAGGACAGGAGACCGAGTAAGAGGGCTTTGGCTTTCATGGGAACTGACTGGTATCCARAAGTCTTTCTACCTTGGAAAGCAGTAACTAGAAGTTCTGGGAGAGGAAGAAGGGAAGATCTTGCAGGGTCTTTCCTAAATTCATCCATCCAAGTCAGATGTGGTAAAAACACTCAGTATGGACATGGCTCAATTACTGCATATCCCACACAAACCCAAGATATTCCGAGTATTCCAGTGGCTGCTTCCCTGSCCCAAACCCTTTCTAATGCTCTGCTTTCCCACATTTAGATTGGAACTATTTCCAAAACTTGTCAATAACTTCACTGGTCCTCAGAGCACTTTTAAGAGCAGCAGTAAGACACCAAAACAATGAAATCTTGATTTTCTTGCTGCTTTGCCATCACAACCTCTGGTGATCATAGATGCTGTCCCCCAACAGAGACTTTGAACTATTCAGAAGCTGACAAACCAAGGTTCCAGARAGTTTAGAGTGGGCCATTTAACAGCAAACATTCTCAAAATAGGTTAAAAGCAAATCAGAATTGAACTGGTGGGGAAAGCAAGGCTGCTGATACAGAGAGATCCATTGATAATCTGGAATTGTCAGCACCAAACTGAACCGGAGAACAGAACTTTGGTATTTTTGTGGCCTTAAACTCCTGATAAATTTTCCTGTTGATGAATTTTGTGGCAATATTGACACAATAAATATAAAGGCCTTGAAATTGTTTTCCTGCAAAACTCTGCCCACTTTATTAGGGATTAGCTTGGATCATCAAAGGCCATGGAGGAACAAGCAACATCAAAACATGAGGCTTCAGAGGAAACAACAAACAGATGAAAAAGAACAATGAAATCAGAAGCCAAGCTTGTCAGATTTGCTTTTATTGGTCTGACAGAAATACATCTAATTATTAGCATTTCCTTGTGCAAGGGCAGGGAAGAGAGAAAGGAATAATAAAATCAATYATAAGTGATAAACAAAGAACAGGTTTAGCACATGATTGAGGAGGAATTCTTTTTTCCCTAAATGACATCAGTGTTAGTGACTGTGTCCAGAAATCTAAGCAAACATTTGAGATTCACACAAGGTGCTTCTGCAGAGGGGGACTCCCCTGTGAGTCAACAGTGGGCTGGAAGGAGTCACAACAAAGATCTTTCATAGAACTTGAACCATTTACATTTAGAGACTGAATCTGAACAGCCAGAGCCCTGCAGGAGCAACAAGGGGCAAGCCCGGGATCAGCATCGGCGGATGGATGGATGGATGGATGGATGGATGGATGGATGGATGGATGGATGGATGGATGGATGGATGGATGGATGGATGGACGGGATGGATGGATGGGATGGATGGATGGAGAGCCCAGAGGAGAACAAGAGCTGCTCTCAGGGCTGGAGCCCCTCTGGAGCCAGGCTGGGAGAGCTGGGGGTGCTCACCTGGAGAAGAGGAGGATCCAGGGAGAGCTCAGAGGCCCTTGCAGGGCCTAAAGGGGCTCCAGGAGAGCTGGAGAGRGACTGGGAAAAGGGATGGAGGGAGAGGACACAGGGTACCCAGAGAAGCTGTGGCTGCCCTGTCCCTGGCAGTGTCCAAGGCCAGGTTGGACACTGGGGCTGGGAGCACCCTGGGACAATGGGAGGTGTCCCTGCCCAATGACAAGGGGTGGCACAGGATGATCCTTAAGGTTTCTGCAACCCAAACCAGTCTGGGATTCTATTGCATGATTCTGTCTTTCCCTGATACCAGAACTGCTGTGCCAGCTGTGGGACAGAACGACACTGGCACACACCCACCAGGACAGGACATCCCAGAACACCGAGACAGAAATAAGTTGAAATTACTTCTTACTGCATTCCTCACTWTCAGGGAAATGGCCCCTCATGAAATGCACATTTAAAAGTTTTAAAACAAAGGCTAAACCAGCCCATGCCCATACACATCTTGTGTTGCTCCTATAGCACTTTTTGCAGCACCCAGACTGCTCATGGTACAGGCTCCAGCAGAGCTCAGGAACAAGACCTTGTAATTCTCATCCTTGGGATTTGGGGATTGGACTASTTGATCTCCAGAGCTGCCCTTCAACCCTGACTATTGTGTCATTCTTCTCCAAAGCTCCCTCACCCTGAGCCAAGAACATAAAGATGTCCCCACAAAGGGAGCAGGGACATAGTATTTATTGAAACCCCCAGGATATTTGAGGGCTCGTGTTTATTAAAGGTTTGTGAATACAGGAACACAGGAAGTATACGTGCCAGAGGACATTGCAAGTTATTTCAGGGAGACAAAATGTAAGTTCTTGCACGTGCTCAGCCTTACAAGGCAGGTGACACCATCTGATCCCATCAGTGACACCTGAGGCAGAGCAAGATAAAGGCAGGAAAATGAGGAAGAACTGCTGGGATACAGAACTTCACTGCCCCTATTGCTTCAGGCTCCACCTGGAAGCACCTTTAAAGTAAAGAGATACTTTAAAAAAAAACAGTAAAACCAAAACCACAAACCGAGAGCTGCTGCTCAGTCCCACTGCAGGCACTATGGGATCACAGATCATAGGTAGTCTGGGTTGGAAAGGACCTTAAACCCCKTTCTATTCCACCCCTGCCATGACAGGGACACCTTCCACTATCCCAGGGTGCTCCAAGCCCTGTCCAACCCAGCCCTGGACGCTGCCAGGGATAGGGCAGCCACAGCCTCTCTGGGTGACCTGGGATGTGACAGGTCTGGGTCATTTCCATGTGCATGAGTCCCCAGAGGGAAGAACTGCCCCACCTGAGCTCCAGGGAAGGCAGCTCCAAYGCTTGGGTTTGACTCTCCTCACATTTGTCTTTGTTAGGGATTTTTTAGAGCAGCACAGACAGACGTGAACACAGGAATGGAAAGCATAGACAGAGGAGGGAAGAACAGCAGGACCTGAAACAGTCAGAAACTAAAACACAAGTTCCACCCCAAAGARCCTCTTTCCATGCAGGGGGCAGAGCCCTGGAACAGCTGCCCAGGAAGGGTCCGGAGTGTCCCTCTCTGGAGACATCCCAAACCCACCTGGACACATTCCTGTGTCACTTCTCCAGCTGACCCTGACATGGCAGGGTTTGGACTGGGTGATCTCCAGAGGTCCATCCCAACCCCACCCATCCTGTGATCCTAGGATCTAATAGAAATGGCAGGAAAGCTTTTTAGATGCTCATGTCACAGTGCAGCCTACATCTCTTCTGTAAGCCCAGAATAAAGGAAACACAGGATCATGTAATCAGCTGGAATAGGTGAACTGGAGCAGGACGTGCATTTCAGTCACCAGCACGAGGGAGGCGTGAGCTGAAGTGCTCATTCAAGTACTTGACATATTTTCATGAGGGCTCAGGGGGCCAAGATGGAGCAGGGCCGGGTGAGCTGCAGGCAAATCCCTCCCTGCACATTCCCCCTTCCCAAACCCACAGAAAGCTCCAGCACCTGGAGCAGCCCCAGCCTGAGGGTGGAGGAAAGCAGGGAGCTGCCACGTCTCAGGTAACAGGAAAGGAGCTGATATATGGAATTAAAATAGCTCCCATCTCTGCTGGCTCACTGCAGGAAAAGCTTTTGGCTGTTTGCAGCCAAGACAGACCAGCCTGRAATCCCACTGCTGAGGGAGGGAATCTGCTAAGAGGGTCTTGCCAGAAGGTTGGCAAGGCCAGTATCTGGCAGCAACAGCTCCCGTTCTGCCTGGGCAAGTGCATCAACAGTACCTGTTTCTGAGTAAGTGATGGTGGCTTTGCCCTGCTTCCCCCTGACAGGGCCCCAAAATTATGCACTGGAAAAGAGACTCCTCTTTCCTGTGCAGCACAACCTRCTCCCAGGTTGTGGACAAAGTCTCAGAGGAGAATCTGTCCTCTGAGGATCTGGAACATGAAGAGTCGAGTCTAACTCAGCTCCTCTGGTTACCACACAAATATTACAAACCTGTGCAAGAGTGAAACGTTCTTACAGAAATAATTATAAATATATATATGTACACATATACACACACAAACACCTCATCAGAGGCTCTGGTTCCAGCCAGTTCTGCAATTCTTCAGGAGCAGAGCCTTGTGTTTCAGTTAAATAACATGTGTTTAATTGCCCCAAAACTGCTGCAGAGTCACCTGGGTCATCTGCAATCCTTACTTGAACTAAAAACTGCTCTTYAGAGTGGTATTTCAAATTTACCCTGATGGCCACATGTCCAGGTTATCACCTGTTCCTTTCTGGGCTGGTGCCAGACAGGGTCAGTGACACGCTAATTTTAGAGAAAAATGCAGATCCCAATGCAGATCCATTCAAGTGAGATGAGGAAAATGACAGTCTCCTACAAAGGGATTTATACTAAAACAAGGAAACTCTCCCTCTGACATGGAGATTAGCTTGGATTTTCAGACTTCAAGCCTACAGAGTAAGAATAAGTCACAGGAATTTTTGCTTTGGATATTGATTTATTATCAAACCCAGAGATGCTGTGTCTTTCTGTCAGTGACATTAAAAATATTGTCTATACAAACCCTTCCAAGAATAAACACACTCAAAGCACCCAGACCAGACTGTGGTGATCTTATCCTCTGCATGCTCACTGCCCTCACCTGCCTGAGGCCAGAACCCATGATGGGTAAATTGTGGACCTTGTGTTTTATTTCAGCTTTTAAAAACTATCTGCACACAAAAATGGTGGGGTTTGACTGATGTGAGGGGGAGGAAAACAACAAAAAATGAGATTATTTTCTCTGCAGCAGAAGTCCACAAGCTGTCCTTGATTGCAGGTACAGGAGAGAGGACTGATTCCCCTCTCTCCCTCTGAAGAACTCACAATACAAGATCCACTCTTGTTTGCTGGAATGTCTTTATTAACCGTGTTTCAGGACGAGCAACATGCAACGTTTCCTTTGTGCTCTACTCCCTTSTCCTCTTTCCACTTTTCCAGAGGCMGGGACTGACCTACTCAGCAACTCCAAGGATGCTTCTAGCTCCTGCCCTGCTCACAGAAGTCAGGATGAACCCCCTGGATCACTGGGTATCTTCTTTCCTCATTGGAAAGACCTGTAACTCTTACCTGTTGTTCTCCTTAACTCCCTGACAGGAGGGGGCAGCCGGTGGGGTCGGGCTCTGCTCCCAGGGAACAGGGACAGGAGGAGAGGGAACAGCCTCAGGCTGGGCCAGGGGAGGCTCAGGTGGGATATTGGGAAAATTCTTTCCTGGAAAGGTTGTCAGGCATTGGAAGAGGCTGCCCAGGACAGTGATGGAGTCCCCATCCCTGGAGGGATGAAGCAGTGAAATTCACTCTGGGAAAGTGGAGCACCTCAGAAGAGCACAAATAGTTCAATTCCAGATGTAAATTGGTGCTGAAGACCATCCCTGAGTCATCAGCACATGGTAAAATGCATTATTTTCCAGGAAGGAATCCCTTCACTCTCACTCACTGATGTGCCMAGGTGTAGGATCCCACTCTAGAGTAATTCTGACCTAATTAGCAAAGCTACTTCTCAAGCCACAATTAACACCTCCTTATCAGCAGTTAATGCAGAGCAGCAACTGAAAACCCCTCAAAAATGCCTTCTAAAGAGGGATCAAGAATTTCAGCAGCATCCCAATTTTTTTGCCAAGGTTCTCTTGCTCTCCAGGGGTGTCACCATGTTTTTACCACCTGTCTCTCCCAGGGCCCATGATCTGCTTTGCTAAGGAGCTTCTGGAGCTCATTAAAGAAAACAGACTCTTCACRCCTGACGGTGTCTTGGATGAATTTCTGCAGCCTGGAGGGAGCCGGTCACTGCAGAGTCCTCAAATATTGGCACTCAGGAATGCAGACACTTCCACAAATCCACAGATAGCAAAGACCACCTGGTCTGGATCCTCAACTCCCTGCTCTGAACAATGACAGGGCAGGTCCAGGTCCTGACCCAGTGAGCATGAGGCTCCCAAGCACAAGGAGAGCTGCTGGTGACCCCAATCAGATTTCCTCTTTGGGAAATCCTGAAGGGATTTCCAAAGGGAATAAGCACGGAGGTTTTATTTTGATCCCTCACAAAACACAACATTTTGTGAGTGAACATTTCACACTGCAGTGGTCATCCTGCATTTACTGCCTGGGAGAGCTGGAAAAAGGAGCCTGAGCCCATCCTGGGAAGCCATTCCCAAGCAGGAATGAGGTGACACAGTGACACACATGTAACTATGGTTTGGCTTTGCTGGGTGCAGCTTTCAGGTGAAGAAATGCCACGTGAAAGCTGCACCTGGCAAAGCTGGAGCCAAAAGAACCTAGTGCAATCATATCAAAGATAGAGAAAATGTAGGATCCACTTGGTTGGGTCTTTTAGAAGCTTCATGTTCTACAGACAAGAGATCTGAGAAYAGAACTGTCCCTGACAGTTACAGGATTTACATGGAGCAGTGAAACACCAGGAAGCAATGCCCTGACTGCTGCTCACAACCACAAAGAGTACCAGCCAGGAGAAGCCACCTCAGACATTTTCCACATGTGAAAATCCTCCCTTTAGTAATGTTTTCACTGAGATGTGAAAGCAGCTTGTTACCATCACAGCTCAAAGGAAAAACCTGTGCTTGTGACACCACATGTGGAGCTTTTCTAYGAACAGGGGAGCAAATATTCACATTGGGTGTATTTTGCCCAAAACAGACAAAGTAATTAAACCCTGCAAGACAGAATGTGTGCACACACGTGTGTGTATGGTCTGGGCACAAAGGTTTGCTCAGCCCCACAATGCCCTGCTGGAAATGATTCCGAGCCCGAGTGATATTCCTGGGAGTAAGATCATATGCATTTGCAAAGCAGGGATCCAAATTAGGGTCCATAAGGAGAGTAGGGAATTTACAATACCCCTACACAGGCGTGCCAAGGATGAAACAGAAGAGTGCAGGTTCCAGGGAGAACAGGACAGGCAGGTGTGCAGAGAAGGATCAGCTTTCCTTCTCTCCATTTTTAATTCATGGGTTTGGAGTCCACCACCAGGTGCTTGCAGGTTACTTTCATCTYATTTATCGCTTCACTTATTCAATTAGCTCTTACTTCTTAAACCAGATGATCACCCCTGTTGTTTCTTTTGTCCCACAAAAGTGGATGACAAAATCTATAACAACTAAATAAAAAAAGAGCTTCTGGGTGGGCCCAGAAGAGAGAATGTCGCCAAGAAATGACCCCCAGCCCTAAGTGACAGAAATCCAGGTGGGACTTACCAGCAGGCCAGGATGCAGAGAGCTGTGAAGAGGATGATGGGGATGGGGTAGGAAGCACAGAGCAGCCCGTGGTTGTAGAACGCCCGCGAAATCCTCTCGCGCAGCCTGTCAGTCAGGGTCATCCTCGGCCACCCTCACCTCGATGCCATCCCGGGATACAGCAGGGATTCGGGCAATTCCAGCATGGGCAGCCCCTCCTGGAAGGCACTGGGTCCAGCTAGGGACTGCAAAGGGAAAACAATAATAAAGAAAAGGGAAATATATATTACTGGCTCATTTTAGAAAGAACTCCAGCCTTCAGGAAGGAATTGTTCCCTGTGAGGGGGGYGAGGCCCTGGCACAGGGTGCYCAGAGCAGCTGTGGCTGTCCCTGGATCCCTGGAAGTGTCCAAGGCCAGGCTGGATGGGGCTTGGAGCACCCTGGGATGGTGGAAGRTGTCCCTGACATGGCAGCAGAGTGGAACTGGTTCATCCTTAAGGTCCTTTCTAACACAAACCAWTCTGGGATTTCTTGATTCTGTGAAATGACTGAGCTGATCTTGACTTCACTGTTGGGACTGGACCATCCCTGTTCCATGARGAACTCAGGAAAAGCACAGATATGCTGCTCCTGTGGCAAAAAATACATCAAAAGTGGCTCTCTGACCAGCCTTAGCTGCCAACAGCCACTCTGGGGAGGAGCGCAGTGCTGGCAACAATTTGTAGTAATTTCAAGGAGGAAAATATTATATTTACTCTCTTTACCTCCTGTCCAACAGCAGCATTCAGTAAGAAAACACAGAGCATTCCAAAGCTAGTWTTTCCCTGTCACTTGTAGGGGTTTGGATATTAAATTCTACCATCTTTATTTGCTTTATGTTGTGACAGAGCTCATAAGAGTGAACAGCAGGAACTGTTCCTGCTCTAAGCCATTTCTGCAAACAGAGATTATTTAAGCCAAAATAAACCTGCTGATTGCAGGACAAATGTTAAAGGCAAATTTCTTGTCTTTTGCATGACTGCAAGTCCAAGATAAAGCTTGCCCAGAAGCACCAGAATTTCAGGATGTTTCCACCWTGCAGCACCACAGGTGACACTTCTGGTTCACTTCAGGTATAAGAGRTGGACACACCTCACAGAATCCCAGAATCCCTCAGGTTGGAAAATCCCTCTAAGGTCACCGAGTCCAAGCTGTGGCCTATCCCCACCAGACCCCATCTGGTTCCAATGCCCTACACACTCTTACGAAACACAAGGTTGACCAGCAGAAGGAAGAAAGGTAGAACTTTCTTTTGTAGGAAAAACGAACTCAAACTTGCCACTTTTCCCAAGATAAAAGCTTTTATTTCACTCAACAATAGTTACATGTTCCAAATTCTTTACATTTCTAGCTGAAAGTCTTCCCAGGAGCCTCCCTGGACACCTAGAACAGGGAAACACAGCGGGAGCAGCTCAGACAGCTCACCGTCTGAGCTTAGAGGAAAAACTAACAAAGGTAAAAAACGTCTCCCTTTCTAACACACAGTCACCTGGAGTTTTAGGTATATTCAACTCCTCAGTTTTCCACAGAATGTTCTGGAACCAGGCCTTGGCATTAGGTGTAATAAAAACACACAATTGAGCTTGTGAAGACTCGAGGGGGAGAAATACAAGGAAAAATCAAAAGTCACTGTTCCATAGAATTTTTCTTGCACTTCAATATATACAATAATTTGCTCCATCATGTTGCCTATATCTAAACATCCAATGGGAATTTTAACTCAGTATTTTCCATTTACAATACCAAGCTTAGCAAAGCAGAAACAGACCCAGCATGGCCCTTCTGCCCCCTTTTTCAGCATCCCACCAGGACCTACACATCTAAGGGCTGATCTGCCTGTCCACACCTGTTCTGCATATGGGAACAGCTCAGCCCTGCAGCAGTCCCAGAGCAGATGTGAGATTTGAGGAGTTTTCCTCCCAATGCTGTGTTTMGGGAAGGACGGGAGGCATGAATAGGAAAGAAGGAAGAATTTACTAAAAATGAGGATTTATAAAGACCATTGGGTTGGTCTGTGCAGTTGYCCAGGGAGCAGCTCAATGTGATGCTCACACACCTGAGGGCCAGGTGGGCAATGGATCACCAGCAGAAAGGGAGGGGCCACCAGCAGTAATTTCCCCTCCTGGTGCTGTATGCACTTCCTTGTGTTCATCAATCCCACACAGGCTCACAGGGATCAGAGAATCCTTGTGCCTTCAGAGTTGYCCCAGACCATATGGAAGCMGAACTGATGCTGCTGGAGACAAGAYCARCCAGAATACCTTGAATTCCCACTGTAACTGACCCATTTTATCTGGGCTCCAGCTCAGGAGGACGAACTCCTGCTCCCTCCCTTGGAAGAGATGGTCCAAACAAGAGAATGCCTCCTTGGTATCCATGTGCCACCTGGTCCCACAGCCTGTGGGACATGTWCACACACAGGTATGGAGTTACAGGTGTTTCACACACTCCTGGGCTATTTCCAGCAAACACGGAGCAGAAGAGCCATCGCCAAACCTGGCTAATCCATGGCCTTCCCCCGACCTGCTAAGAGCTCCAAGCCCTCCTCAGTCCTCACCACCACGATGATCTCACGGCAGTGCCCAAACTCAGCACCACAGACAGCCCCGAAAACAAGGGAAATCTCAGGTTCCCTGGAGAGGAAGAGAGTAGAGAACAGATGCTGATCACTCACACCCTAGAAAAGCAGCTGGATTTCCTCTCCCTCAGTTGGGCACTGGAGGTGACTCAGGGCTCTGATGCTTCCAGCGATCACTCACTGGTGTCACTGTCACGGGGGCTCCCAAATCCCACCATCCACAAAAGGGAGGAGGGGTGGGAGAGAGGCACAGATCTCAGGAACACAGCTCTGCCTCTCCTCAGCAAGCGTGGATTGTCCCCAGCAAGGGCCAGGGAACATTCCTCAGGACTTCAGAGGTGGGAAAACAAGAGCCACGCTCAAGACAAGCCTCCTTCACAGAAATGCTGCACAATGGGCTCTAACACCAAGGTCCTGTTCTCCCCTCGCATTCCCATGGGAAGAATGATGTGCTTTGTGCTGCCAAAGGACACGGAGGTCACGGGGAACAGAACACTTCCTATGGGAAAATCAGCCATACACTAACCCTGGGGAGGCTGCTGTCTGCAAGGGGTTAATCCCAACACTGCTGTCGGGAACAAGGCTCTGAACAGCCTCTAAGTCCTAAATGGATTGTCCTTCACAGAAGGGATACTTTCCATATTCAAAAGGTAGAAAATTACATTTCTGAGTCCACTCCCACCATTCCAGCTCTGTGGCTTCAACAGTACTGAAAGTCTGACACAAGTTTTTGAACCAGATTTCAATACCCAAAATGTGCAAGCTCACTTCATTTTGCCTGTTCTGCCTCACTTCACCAGTTTTGCCTCACTTCTTTTTGCCTGGAGATGCAGWGAACAGATGCTGGATCACTCACCAGTGTTTTCCTCCCTGTACAACTCATTKATGTTTTGAGTTTAAAAATACAGAGGTTATCTGGAACAGATCCCATTTTACAAGTGTCTTTCCCTATTTACATATTACTAACATCTCCTGAAATGCTGGAATAGCAACAATGAYAAAGATTCAAAGAGAACACTTCAAAAATCTCTACATGCCAGGTAAAATTATCTGCTTCTGAAACAGGGACTGACATCCAAAATCAGTTTCTAAAATGGTTTTCAGAACATTTTGAACTTTTCTGCCACAAGAGAAGAGCCTCAGTTAAACTCCTGCTTTGGAAGTGTCACTCACTGAATGTGGTTTCCATCCTTTCTTCCTTCCCAAAATACTCCCAACATCACCAGATAACAACTCGTTACTCTGGATGACGAGAAAAGATATTTCATGTGCAGAGCCRTGAAATACAGAATTTTGGGATTTGTGACAAAAATAGAAAATATCCAAATTCAGAAAAAAAGACAGTTGCAAAGTTCAATGCTCTTGTTGCATCCAGCGAAGGGAAGCTCCCTTGCACATGAAGAATAGATATTCCAAACACAAGGAAAAACTTCCCAATTCCCTCTTCATCACCACAGAATTCTTGCCCAGCTCTGTACAGCTGGGGATGATCCACCTCTACAGTCACAGAATCCCAGAATGGTTTGGGTKGGARGGGATCATAAGGATCACTCAATTCCAGTGAATACGATGTGATGTGCACAGGGAAAATAACGTCCTGGGATCCGGATCCTTAATTCCCTGAAGGTGTGACATGATGCAGTGTAAAAAATAGAAATTGTGTGTTAGGCATTATTAAGAATGGAATGGAATCAAGACGTAAATCCATCCTCACACATGCTAGAAGCTACACACAGCGCTGGGCATTCCTCCTCTTCCTACAAGGGACATGCAGGAGAACTGGAGAAGGTACTGAGAAGCTCAAAAATGATCAAAGACACAGAGCAGCTTCCTAAAACAAAGAAGTATGGAAGGCTTTTCCAGCTGGAGCAGATTTAATCAGTGTGTGCACACCAGGCAGCCCTATCAGAGCCAGCCCAAAGAAGCGGAGCAGGGAAGGGCTGTCTCTGTTATCCTGGGATAACTTGGCACCAAACCAACTCCAGAGCAGCAGCTCAAAATAAACACACAGCTAAGCTGGGGAAATCTCCTCCCCAGGACACTGTCCCTGTCACATGGCTTACACAGCCAGCAGATAAATCTCAGGAAGAGTGAGCCACTGAGCAAAGCCAGGGATCCCTCTGGCTCCAGSACCCCCTCGGATATGAGCCACTTGTTCCCAGCACAGCACTGGCTGTCAGAATCCAATGGACTGGTCTCATTCGTGCATTCCTGGCTACTATCAGAAATCACARAGGGATCTGGAGAGGCTGGGAGCCTACCCTGGCAAACGTCTTTATGCAATACATCCCACGTGATCCCTTTGGAATAATCTCCTCCTTTTTGTTTATCAATGCAGCCACYCTACAAGTGGCTGGGGAATCACTTTCTCCTAAAAATATCAGAGACTGATGCAACAGCCCCGTGCAGTTACATCTCAGAGCTTCCCCAGCTGTGCAATCCAATCGTTCCCCTCTGCTGGCCGTACATCCCTAACCAGTGCAAGGCACAGRCACTAGGAACTCCATCAATCCTTTACTCTGGGCTGGAGCCTTGTGTAAACAGCTCGCCAGGCATAGACCTGAAACGCTCTTCCATTTCTACTACAGGTAGTATTTCTACTCATGCCATTTTCTAATGCTCTCTACC